TTGGCTTCTAAAATAATCACCCGTGAGTACTTAAACTTGGACAATTGGACTTTAAATAAGGACTTGTGAGCAGAAAGGAAAATTGGACTTAAAAGTTTACCTCAATTTGGCACTGAAACGGGAAGGTCTAAACAGGAAGTCAGCCTTCCGTTTCTTTGTAGATAGATCAAAGCAAAGACATGGCAAACTAGAGCCCAGAAAATCGCTTGTAAAAGATTAACTTTCATCATTTAAAATTGTTGAACCCCCTTCGGAAGCAGGGGAAGAGGGGGGATTTTTTCGGACTGTTTAAATCTACAGAAGTGAGTCTAAAGTAAAGTAACTTTCCACCGTCCTGATCCTGGAGCGGGGTGTCAGGACTGACGTTCTTTTTTTTTTTTTTGAAGCTCATTGACCAGAGACAAACGTTTTTGACAGATAGCCATAAGAAGAGAAACATTGATTCCATTGTTCCCCTTCGCTTTTTAAAGGAACAAATATTGACAAAATATCTGAAAAAGGAAACTTTGTTGTTAGACTTGTTTTTAAAAGAAAGAACAAATAGAAGTTTTCCCCCTAGAGGGAGACTGTGAAACTGTAACCAACTCCGGGGAGCTTGCAGCTGTTACAGATTACAATCGTGGGAATAGACTTCTGACCTTGCAGGACAATGTATTTGGAAGCTCTGTTGTGTGCTTTCTCTAAAACAAATGCCCTACTGGAACAGCTACATGAGAAGACGGATTTGATGACTGATGCGATCAGAAATTTTGAACAGGCAGTGGGAAATTATATGGAGCCCACCCAGGAATTAAATCAGGAGTGTGCCCTGATGGAACAGATGAGGGAAGAGGATGCTGCTGAATCTTGGGCGCCAGAGACGGAGGGAGCTGTGGCCCAGCAGGAACATGAGCTTTTGGATTTGACAAATGAACTTGGAAAAAGCCAGATTTGGAAAGATAAAGTTTGGTTTGGTTTGGAAATGGGGGGTTGGATAGACCCCCCTATGCAGGGATGTTTGGACTTTTCAAGTCTGGCAATGGGCCGTGAGATGTTTGGGGTTGTGGGGGCTCTTAATTTTGGAGGGTTTTTGAAATATGTTCTTAAATACCACATGGAGTTTAGTGTGGACTATGGAAAAGGGGCTGATTTGTTGAGAAGGGTTAAAAGCATTGTTAAGCTGGAGTTCCCACGAGTGAAAGGAGCAGGAGACAAAGGAAAATACAGTTATAAATATGAAGAAGAGCCGCGGAAGGGACATGGAAGAGACTTAAGGGCCTTGGATATAAGGTTACCAGGTTAATGCGCTAGATCGATGGGATAATAAGGACTGACAAAACCCGGGACCAGGAGGAAGGGACGCTGGATGAAGATTGGATTGTTTTTATTTCTTTTTTACTACTAGGATTGTTTTATAAAATTGATGAATGTTAGAAAAATGTTGGAACGAAATTACTTGGCTTTAGCAAAAATGTTTAAAGAATTATGTAAGAATATTATGGTTATGAGAAGTTGGTAAAAATAAGATTTAAGTTTTAAGATTTAAGGTTTTTTATAGTAAGATAAGATTAAAATAGATTAAGGTAATGTAATGACAGAATATTATGAAATATGGAAAGGATTTGCTGCGGCAATTAACAACTAGGATACAAAAAAAGGGAGGAGGAGGAGGTCAAAGAAAGAAGGTAATGACAGTTGAGGATTTGAGAATGATGGATTTGTTTTTGAGTGTTTGTGGTGTATTTTTGTTTTTTGAATTTGTATTGTTTGATGTGGTTTGTTTTTTCTTTCTCTTTTTCTGTTTTCTTCTTTTTTGTAATTCTATAAAACTTTCAATAAATATCATTTAAAATAAAATAAAATAAAATATGGAGAGAGAGAGAAAGCACAACCCTTTGTATTTCCATGTGGGCTGCGAATGGCCCATGTCTGAAACTCCGAAGAGCTGTTACCAATCAATGTAAACAGTACTGAGCTCTTGAGAAAAATGGCCCGTTGGTCTGGCTCTGTATAAACTTTCTACATGCACCTTAAAGATAATAGGGCAAAGTCTGAGGGTGCATGGTACACCCACCATGTTGAAGCTAAGCAGGGCTGGATTTTATTCTTAACCTGGATGGAAAACTGCCTGGGACCCTGTAAACTAGAGGTCACCAAACTTTTGTGGCAAATAGACACATCTGGAGATTTGAGAAAGCACCATGGGTGCCAGTCACAAAATGTGGCTGTATGGCATAACTTAAAATGGCTGCTGTAGGGGTGTGGGACAATACAAAATGGCTGCCGTGGTGCATCTGTGTCATAGTTGTCAACTTTTCCCTTTTCTTGTGAGGAATCCTATTCGGAATAAGGGAATTTCCCTTTAAAAAAAGGAAATGTTGACAGCTATGATCTGTGTGTGAAATGATGCAAATGGCTTCCACATCCAAAAGAGCAGAATAAGATATAGGGCCACAGAATAGTATGAGGGTGCCCATCATCAGTCCACCCTATGAACAGGATGTGAGGGAGACCCCACACTTGCTCACAGAACTGTCCAAAATGGGTGGGAGGGTGGATGTCCAAATCTGGCATCCACTGCAATGTGGGCATGTTTTAAGCAGGACATGTTTAACGTAGGAGAGGTCAAGACAGTGCAAAGAGGAACTGAGCAAGGAGAACAAAGTCTCTCATGTCTTGTGGGGTTTTGAGGAGTTATTTTCTGAGACCTTTTTTGGGCACAATAGGAGGTTCTGCCAGGTACACTCGTATCCGGAGGCACCATATTTGCAACCCCTGCTGTAAATACTGCCTTGAGTTCTATGATGAAGGATATGGATGCAATATTTATGCTAGGAATAGAATAAAACTGGGGTGGATGTCCATCACATTCTGTCCCCTAGTTATCAGGCAGATCCACCCTCCTGACTGCGACTCACCTTCAGGTATATTTTCCATCTCCACCAGGCTGAGTATATAAGAACATAAGAAGAGTCTTCTGGATCAAGTCAATGGCTCATACAGTCCAGCAGACTGTTCTGGTGAAGGCCAACAAGATGACCCTATGAGAAGCCCCAAAGCAGAACATGAGCAGAAGAGAGCACTCTCTCCTACTGCAGTTTCCAGCAAGCGGTTTTCTAAAGCATCACTGCCTTCAACCTGGGAGGCAGAGTATAGGCATCATGAATGGACTGTTACATTTTTTAACTGTTCTTTTAAAATTATATATAGTCAGTTAAAAGAAACTAATTAAAGAAAAATCAGCACCATTTTATTTTATTTAAAAAAAGAAAATAACACCCCGATTGCATCATTATGCTGCATCTCTGTTGAGCGAGACTTGCTATCACATCCAAAATCTCTCCATGTCTCTTGGTAAATTTTCTAAGCAGTTGTTTACAATCTTAGACCAAATGGTGGAAGCAGGTGTTTGCAAGAGGTGTTTGCAAGAACACACAGATAGCTAAGACTAAATTATTAGCTTTTATTTCATTTATGACTCATTTCCCATGAGGCATGCTGAGGTGATCTACAATATTACCATATACCAAACAACAACATACATAAAAAGTCTAAAAAATTGGATATATATTTATTTATATAATTGGTTTTTTGAAATTGTTTTTATGTGTGCAATTGTTTTAACAGTTTTTATGTACATAACTATTTTATAAGTGGTAAATATAAACTATGTATATTTATTTATGCACACATATATGTATATATATGTATTTTTGCATTTATTCATTACACAATGTATACTTATTTTATTTATTAAAAATGCATTTCCATACTGCTCTGCCACTAAAATATCATGGTGGTATACACTGACTACCCTCCCCCCAAAATCATTTTGAAAAGAATATAATCATTAAGATGACTAGCTGATCAAAAATTAAACTGCGACAAAGGTCTGCAGAAAACATCTTCAAGAGACACCTAGATGTCAAAGATCAGGTTGCCTGCTGAACTTCTGCTGGAAGGGTCTTCCGCAGTCTGGGACCAGTGACACTAAATGCTTGACTTCTAGCTGAGGTCTTTGGGGCTTTGGTAACACAGGGGACACCAAGCAGTGCTCCTCCAGATGGTCTAAATGACCAAGCTGGGATATAAGAGTTCAGGTTGTCCTTAAGGTATCCTGGGCCCAAGTCATTCCAGCCTTTGAACCTGAACCCAGTAGCCTATGGACAGTCATTGCAGAGTTTTTAGCAGAGTTGTCACATTCTGCCAGCCACTGCCCTCCTCAGCTGTGTTCACCACCAGCTTGAACTTCAAGACCTGGACCTAGGGCAGCCCCACAAAGAGCACATTGCAGCAATCCAGTCTGAAGGTTACCAGAGTATGGAGTATAGTGGCCAACTCATTCCAATCCGGATATGGCTGTAGCTGTTGAACCAGAAGAAGCTGTATTACAATGATAAAAAATAAAATAACAACAGCAAATAAAATTCATGCAGATTTATATGATTTGATTTACATTCAGCATAGTAATAGCATTAAGGCATTGCTTATGCAACTGTCATCTTCAGCAGCTTTGCAAAAACCCACGAAGAGAGGCAGAACAATTGTGGAGAAATTGCGGTCATAAGCGGTAGAAATGTTAACAGCTTCCTGGGGATGTTTGGGGAGGGGGGAAACCTTTATATGCCATCAGACTGATCCAAGCTGCTGATATGGATGCCATTTCCTAGCGTGTGTGTGTGTCCTTCTCTTTCCTGTAGCTTGCAATGAAAACAGACAAGGCAGTGCTCTTATTTCCCCGAGTACCAAAGTCAACACAAGTGATATTTTGCATCCTGTGCTGCTGTACTGAACGGTGGCTGGGTGAGTCACTTAGGACCCTGGAGAGCTCCAGCTTGTGCAGTGGCGAAGCCCGGTCCGCAGTGAGCATGTGCGAAGTGGGTCTGCTCTCTTAGGGCTCGGTTAGTTACTGATATAAACAGCTGGAGGTATTCAAGTGCTGAGCTTAGAGACGAGCAGAGCTGCGAGAAGGAGGATGCAGGAGGATTACAGCTTCTGTATACTGAAATCTGGGTGGTAGAAGGAGGATTAACGGAGCAGGGCGCTGGGAGACGGATTGATCTGCTTCATAGAGCTGCAATACAGTTTTCTGGTAATATTTTGCTGGATTTGCGGAGGACTTTGCCTCTCTCAAATTGGAGTTCTGATTACATGCACAACTATGTATATGAGGTGAGTGTTCCTTCCCTTCTTATTGGCATGTTGAAAAGTGTTTGCAAATATCCATCCATCACTGCCTAAGTCAGAACTGAACAACTTTCTTTCTTTCTTTTCCTTCTTCCACCGTTGTTCCTGAGCCATTAGCAATTGCATGCATTACGAAGGCAGGTATCTGTGGGGTTGATGAAAATGATCCGTGCTATCTCAAGCATGTGGGGTGTGTGTGTGTGTGTAGCAGGATTGTGTTGTGAAGATTGTGCTAGGAGGATGAGGCACTGTGAAGCCTGGATTTGGTATACTTGAAAAGGGAGATCATATATGCAAGAGAGACTGTTACCCCTGTGTTCTGAAGAGCACAAGTAGAGGCCAGTGTTTCTCTGAAAAACCCCTACCCCAAATGCAAGCACATACATTTTTGCAGCACTTTATAAATAACATCTATCTCCATTTTTGCTTGGTTGCTATTGCAGCTCTGTAGTGTCTCCCAAACCCTCAACCATAGGGCCTCTGAAAATATACATTTGGGATGATATTATTCCTTGCTGAAAGAAGAAGCCTTTCTGAAACTACCATTATGCAGAGTGTCATCTCACACATTACCCCTTAGAGAAAAACTTACTTCTGGCTGTCATGCCAGAACCATATTGGTTTGCAGAAATGATGACAAAGAAAGCAGCTTGACCTACAGTTCTGGGAGATCAAAGTGAGGAACATGGTTGCAAATAGGATTTCTTCTCCTTGGATTTTTCAAGATCTTAAGTTTTATCAGATTTCCTCTTTCTCACCCTTCCCTTAACCTCCTTTAAAAATAAAATAAAGACAGAAGTCATAATCCTTTTGCACTGTATGTATACATTTGCCATAGCACAACTCTCCCCCTCTGTGGCTATCTCTCTCTCTCAAACAACAGTGTGTTTTCATTTTACCCTATAATTTGGCAGTTTTGCCACTGACCTAGAAAATAAAAGTGTTGATGGCAAGGTTCACGAAAACAGGGATATCATTTCATCTCAGTTCATTTCGCTAAAGAAGGAAGGAAGCAGTTTTTAAGTCTCCAGTTTCTTCAACTCAAAGGGATTCGCTCCCCCCTCTTGATTTCAGACATCCTTATTTCCCCTGAGTAGCAATATTGGTCTTGAAAGAGGATTGTGTTTCCTTCCTCAAAATGATCTTTGCAATTAAACTTTGGCTTTTCCAGAAGAGCCTAGCAAACGGATGTTTAACCTCAGATTTAGTGAGCAGACCATGGACACCCTTGGTTCAGTTTTGATACCTGAGCCGAAGTGCTCTCCTGTCATTAGTACTGCTCTCCCTGCTGGGAAAGATGGTTTGACTGGTCCTTGAACATGGAGCTTTTAAAAGGCTTAAGTATCTGGGTGGAAAAAGAACTTGTTGCCCTATTTCTCCCTGCAGCTGTCTACAGCCTCCTATGAACATTCCAGCCTCTGAAGGCACCATCATCCATCTCCTGCCCTCTGCCACCTCCACAGGCACCCAGGCACTCTCCCTCACCCCCAGTGTTCCTTCCATTTCTCCTGCACTGCTGCTTCAAGCATCTTGCTCAGAATGACTAAGACCTGATAGCCCTTTGCCACCTTGTTGTCTGTTGTGGGCCTTGCTGCAGTTGCAATCCCCCCAGGCCAGGACTTAGCACAACGGTTACCAGAAATGGCCAGATCTGCTTTGAATAGGGCAGAGTGGAAGAAACACCTGTTCTGGAGCACAGCGAAACAGGTTCTCTAGATCTACTAGCCATAAAGGCTATGCTGTGCCTCCACAGTGAGAGGCTGTACGCTTCTGAATATTAGTTGCTTGAAACCACAGGAGACAAGAGTGTCCTTGCAGCTGGGTCTTGCTTGGGGGCTTCCCAGTAGAGACATGTGGTTGGCCACTGTGAGTACAGGATGCTGGACTAGATGGGCCATTGGCCTGATCAAGAAAGCTCCTATTTATGTTCTTAGATCAGGGTTTCTCAAAGTGGTTGGTACTGACCTCTTGGGGGCTGACAAGATTGTTTAGAGGTGTGTGTGAATAAAAGTCCTAAGTGCTGAAAGAGGTTGGAAAAGGGCCCAGAGTGGAAATGAAGCTTATGAGATATGGTGTGAAAAATGTAGGAACTAGAAATAGGATATAAAAGACACGGGCATGTACAGAGTGTATCTCCCTTGCCCGCGAGGAACTTCTGTATTTAATAAGGTGATTCCAAAATACAACAGCATTCATTATTTTCCTTCCTGGTGGTGGTGACTGGTGATATTTCTTGGCTTTATTCAATTTACATTCCTAAGAATTTGGGCTGTGGTCAATTACCACTTTACAAGCTCATAAAGGGAGTCAGTGAACTGAGAAGCTTGTGAAACCTTGTCCGAGATCAGGGAGGAAGTTGGTAGCTACAATTACCAACTTCATCACTGGATGCCACAAGGAGCAAATTCAGAACAGTGCTAATACCCACCGTCAAATGGTATTCAGTGGCGTATCACTTCAGTATATAGACATTCCACATAGCCTTCGCAACTAATAGGCAACAGAACAGGAGGGCTTCCAGAAAGCATTTGGTAGACCATCATGGACCTCAAGGTGGAGTAGACGAACTGTTTACATCACCTAACAGAGAATAGAACTCCCATATTCAGGGGCTGTGTACCTTAAGAGCACCAGATTCTGATGAACAATTAAAAAGGAGAGTCCTTTTCCTTTATACCCTGTTCAAAGCCTTCCCAGAAGCATGTGATTGACCACAGAGGGAAATAAGTTGCTGGGTTAGACAGGTGAAATATACTCAGAGTCCTCAGTACATAACAACAGGCCTTTCATCTAATCCAGCAGGCCCTACCTGAAACTCTGGAGAGCCACTGTCAGTCAGTGCAGACAACACACAGCTAGGTGGACCAATGGTCTGATGTGGTAGAAGCCAGCTCCCCATGTTCCTCTTGGTAATATGACACTGGGCAGCTGCAAACAACTTTTACATGCAAGTTTTCATAGGAGCAGTCTATCTGAGCAGTGCTAATGCGGAATGTTGGCAACAGTGTGTTCAGATTCTCTTTTGTGTCTTTCACTGGCTCTCCAACTCCATGCTCTACACTGTTGATCTGTAAGGGATAAAAGGATCCGTCAGTTTCACTTCTATCATTTTTCCAATCTGGAAGTCAGTTCCCCACATTTCTGCAGCAATTTGTGATCTTTTTGCTTGTTTAAATCCTCATATTTTTTATTTTTTATTTTTTAGCATTATAGTGTGCATTTCTTCTAACACACACTTTTTTGGGTGTGCAGTTTTGATTAATATACACATTTTTGCAAGCAGTTTTCCTTAATATGAATTCATGTATGCTATTTCTACTAGTATCCTTCCCCCCTAAGATATGCATTTTTGTAAACATTGTTAGGTTGGAAAACTGCATCACAGCATTCAGAAAAGCGTGAATCTCAAAGGATGGCTATGTTTTGGTTTTCATACTGTTTCAGAAGGTGGAAATTTGATAGATTTGGCTTTAAAATGCAAACTGAATTGAATTTATCCCCCATCCCTACTCATGGATAAAACACTACTTAAAACAACAACAAATCATTTTGATTTCACTGTGCTTAGGATATTCTCTATATTACTTTTGAATGGTGTTTCTTTTTAACGTAATCCACATACTGTTTTTGCATGTTGGTAGATAAACATCATGTGGGGGAAAAATCTCGATGGGTTTGGGTAGGATTTATCCTTCTTATAATATGGCAGGATAATAACTTTTAAGAAGTTATTGTTTTATTCTTACTGGTGTTTTCTTTGAGCATTTGCATCAATATATTTTTACAGTCGTAAGTCACATTGAGGCATTTCATGCAGTAAGCAACAAACAAACTTAATTAATAAGACGATAATTTGTGGAAATTGCAAATTTCAGCAAAATGCTATTTATTTATAGACTGCTATTTTATTAAAAAATATCAAAGCTCTTTACAACAAAAAAGACATAAAACCGTACTGTAAAAATCATATTTAAAAAGTTGAAGCAGACCATTGCAGAAAGATGTGTTTTTAATTGCCTGCATAAGCCCTAGTGAAACAGGAAAGTTTTCAGCATGATTTTAAAAGTTGAAACAGAAGAAAAGTTTCCCAGAACAAGAACAACAGAACAGACCTAAGCCATACACAGCTGGCCTCTTGATATTCTCCAGCTGATCTGTGAACAGAGGAACTGAAGGACACCGTATCACAAATTTCTCCAGGTGGAGGAGAAATTTGTCTAACAGTTTGTTGGGGGTGAGGGGAAGGGGGTCACCAGTACCAAAGGCAGAAGTAGCACAGGTTCTTTTGAGTACCTGAAGTCTCCCCACTCCTTTGGCGACCACTCCAAGCAGCAGCAACTACTGTACCAGCAACCTAGCCAATATTTTGTACTGTCTGCAGTGTCCCAGACCTTTAGCCTTGCTCCAAGTCATAGTTGGGGGCAAATGACAGCTGCCGCAGAGAAAAGAAATAGTGGGGAATAGCCAAAGGAAATTCTTCAAAGTAGCTTTCTTTTTCAGCTCAACACTGGAATAGAATGCCCCAAGGGGTAGTGGGTTTCCCTTCACTGGGTGCATGGCAACCTATCAGGGATGTCAAAGATGCAACCTATCAGGGATGTCATAGATGCAACCTATCAGGGATGTCATAGATGCAACCTGCATTATGGAACTTGCACTGAGGAAAGGGGGTTGACTACATGTTCTCTAAGATCTCTTCCAATGCTATGATTCTATCCATGATGAGAACTCTGGTCTTTTCTTTCAACTTTAAAGGCAACACAGAAGGCTCCAGTTTTGATCAGTGCATTGAGGAAAAGTATATTACTTTGGGATCTTTCCTCCCACTCTGTTTTTAGACCTGGAAAAGGGGGGGAAACAACCCAAAATCAAGACTCTTGTCTTTTTCTCCTATGTAGGTCTAATAACACTTTTCGCTGGAGTGGTGAGGAATTTAGGTCGGGGGAATGGAATAGGACAGAGGTGGAGAACCTCCCTATTTGTCCAAGGGCCACATTCCCTTTTGCCATTGGTTGGGGGCTGCAGGAAAAATTGGGTGGGGCAAGAAATGTACAATTTATTTTTGGACAGTTGCTTTGGTTGCCCTTTCTGCACCTTCTCCAGTGCTACAATAGTTTATTTGAGATACACAGGAAGCTTCCTTATACTGAGCAAGACCATTGGTCCATCCATCCATCTCAGTATTGTCCACATTGACTGGCAATGACTTCCCAAGGTTTCGGATAGGGAGTCTCTCCTGGAGATGCCATGAATTGGACCCAAGACCTTCTGTGTGCAAAGTGGATGTTCTGCCTACAAATGGACTCAAAGGAATGTAAACATTGCCATCTTCATGTTCCATCGCTATGCGGGAGGTGAATGCAGCTTGGCAGTAGACTAGTGTGCATCCATAGAAATGCGAACCAAGGCATCAACTTGTGCACAGCTTGCCATCAGGATCAGACCGGTGGCTCCTTATGTGATAACACTGCACTCTCTTCCTCTCTTTTTAACGTATGTTGACATCATCCACCTTAAGTGCCTTCACTGTGAACAGGCAAGATAAATATATAATTAGACTTTAATAAATGCATGCATACACATGGACTTTTGTAGTATCTGAAATGTTGGAAGACATCCCTTTGCTGCTGTAGATTTGAAGACCCAAACAGACATGATGAGAAACCCTGATAGGATTATGTGAAGTATTTCCACCAGGAGAACAAAGGGTTAGTAATGCCCACACGATATAGTAATGCCCACCAACACTGATGGCATTAAAAGAGTAATAGACTAATTAATGGAGGAGGAGGAGGCTATGAGTGGTTACTAGCATGACGGCTGTGTTCTATGTTCTAGTTGCTGGGAATCACAAGGGAGAGTTGCTGTTGCACATGGGTCCTGCTTGTGGGCTTCCCATTGGGCTTTCTGGTTGGCCATGGTGAGAGCAGGATGCTGTGCTAGGTGGGCCTTTGGTCTGATCAAGCAGGGCTCTTCTTGGACATGTACTAGCATATCTAACACCTAAGTACAAGCATGTCTTTTTCTCAGATTTTCCTCATGATGTTCAGGTACCCTACAATACCTCTTTGCAGCATGGCAATAACGATGACACTTTGTGCGAACATGTGCCCTCCTTGTCACCCGCATGAAATTAGGCCTAAGAACATTGGCTACAACCCTGTGTTTTTAGATATTCCTATTATTAGACAATTGGGAGCCAGGAAATATTGATGATCTACTACAAATCCCCCAGAAATCTATTAGTGGATTATGGTCAAACTTCTGGCTACCCTTGATCTTATTCCAACTAGCAGAAAATCTTCACACTCAGGCAGAGGGGTTTTTTTTGTTGTTTTTTTTGTTAAAGTAGCAGAACACACCACCCTCAAGATTTGGTTCAGATCTGTAGCCGTAGCTTTTGTGAAGCAGACTGATTTGTGAGTCAGGTCCAAAATCACCTTAGCGAAAAACAAATATCTGTATCCCACTGTTCACTATGAGGGGAAATCTAAAAACATCTATCTTGTTTTCCTCTTGACAGAAGTGGGTGAAATTTGCAGGTACAGGAGCCCCTCCAGAATGGATGGAACATGTCAAAATTACTGGCAGATAGCTTTTAGGGTTTTGTGTGAGTGTGCAGACTCCTTGAACTTTTATTTTTATACATTTTTTAAAAAGTCTTAGCTTTTCCATTTTCTTTTGGAACTGGATGCAATTTGCATGCATGGTTGACGCTTCTGAGGGATGGAGCCTGCCAACTTCCAGAGTGACAATTGCAATGCTTTCCTCACAAGGCTATAGGCTTGACCCTTCCAGGGCAGATCACTTGGCCTCTCCCATTGTTTGGTGGGCAGTCAGTATGAAAACTGCTGACATGAGAGAGGTGCCCCTGGGTGAGAAATCTGCCAAAGCACAGACAAATAGAGAGTCTTTAATTCTTTTGTTTTCTTCTTGTTGTTTGAAATAGGATTGGGTGCTTAATATAAACAGGAAATTATTGGAAAGGGTGAGAGGTAGGAGGAAGGAACCACCCTGTTCCGGAGAGACATAATTTGCAATGGAGCAACAATTGCATGAAACAAAAACTATTTCACTCAACAGTCCTCACCCAAAGCACTGTGATTGGGAAGCCCAGGTAAATTCTTAAAAGCTAGGCCTGTTCTTCAAAGCAAACTCTGCCTTCCCCACATTTCCCATAAGCTACTCCAGAGTGTTCCCCTTATACCTCAATTTAAGAACAGCCCTGTTTACGAACTATTTGGTATAAGAACTCTGCAAAACCGGAAGTAATGTTCCAGTTAGCAAACTTTATCTCGGTCTATGAACGGAGGCTGAATGGTGGAAGGGCACCGGCGGCGGGAGGCCTCATTAGGGAAAGAGCCCCTCGGTTTAAGAACAGCTTTGGTTTAAGAACAGACCTCCGGAACGGATTACGTTCATAAACCGAGGTACCACTGTAGTCAATTTGGTTTCACTTTTAGAACAAAGGATGTCTGCAGCAGTTTTCTTCCTGCCTCTTTTTTGGGGGGCCCTAGGCAATAGGCCTGGGATCTGAGACTTTTGGGATATAGCATTGCTTCTCTGACTCAGGGTGCCTTGTTCCTATAGTGCTTCAACTCAGAAATGTAAACACACACACACTGAAGTGAAGGCATGAGACAGGAGTTGGTAATGCAGGTGAGATGTGCAGGAGCAAGCTGGCAAGCATGCTCCAAGCAAGCTGCTGGCTAGCTCTGCAGAGGCTCCTTTTATTAGCAGAAGTCAACAATTGGAAACAGTAGTGAAACCACCCTGAACTTAACGTATTTCCATCTAAGCATTAACAAATACAGATGTCAGCAGGTGCTTCCCTTGAATGTTCCCCCAAATACTTGATTACGTCTGTGTTCCCCACCATGCTCCAGCCAAGTAATATGTCTAGCAAACAAATTGCGAAAGGACAAAAGGTCAGGGGGGAAGACCCTGTTTTCTAGCCAAGAAGGCAAAAGGTCAGGAAAAGCAGGCGTAACGCTCCTTGACATACTGTTGCACTTCTGGTGTGAGGTTTACCTTCGCAAAGTGGAGCGTTACCTCTACAACACAAACCCTGAGGCACCTTGATTTGACTCAGGGTTATTGCACCCTTGTAATTTCCTGTCTTTCCACCTGATATCATTTTAACATTGGCAGTTGTCCATCAAGTCAAGCACCGTCTACTCTGGCTGGTAGTGGCTCTCCATTGGGTCAGGAAGGGTGAGGCCTTCCCATTCCCTGCCACCTTCTGGGCTTCATCTCAGCTAGAACTCCAGCCAGGCTCTCACTGCCTCTTTGCTTTGCTTCCCTTCCTCTTCAGGTATAAGAAACTCTGAAGCTTCACCGCCAACTGCTGTGCCTCTGCCCTGCAGTTTCTCATCTGTTTTATCAGGCCCCACTGCAGGAAGGAGAAATGGCAGGTCTTGTCTGGCTGCAAGCTTCCCTCTCAGCATTTATCCACCAGGAAGACCTGCTAGCCAGGGCTCTAATCCTGCATCCATATGGAGGGATGTACAGAGGGAAATGGGACTGTCCCTTCACAATTATGGTGATGATCATAGAATCATAGAATTGTAATGGTGGGAGGGATCACACCCCCGGCAGTGCAGGAGCCACAGCTAAGCAATCATAGCTTTATCATGTTGTGACGGCTACACATCCTTCTGAAGAAAGGGTAAGCCAAAGCATCTAGATAAACAAACAAAATGCTCGGTTGTGTATGTGAGCATGTTTTCCCCAGTTTGCTTTGGCTTCACGCTGAGTGATCTGCATGTACAAGTTATTATATTAATACTGACTTTCCTCCCCTATTAAGCTGCAGGGGAAAAATGGATGTCTATATCCAGAAGGCAGGCTGGAAGCCAAAATCTATTTTGGTTAGGTCCTGAAATTATTTCCAAGCTTGAATACATTTGTTCTCAAAGAGAGCTGACAAAGTAGAAAAGCAAAATTAAATGGGTCCATAGGGTTGTTACACCCCTCTCTCCCAAATAAATTGTTGATAATGTTTTAATATATTAGCCTAAAGATTTTCATTTATTTTAATGACAAGGATTACCATTTTAGGAGATATTCTGGGTCCGTGCAATAGATCCTCTGCAAGGGGGATCTGCAACAAAATGTTCCAGTATATTCAGAAGTGCATTCCTACACCCTTTTCGAGGGTGTTGTAAGGCAGGAACTTTTGACCCTCCAGATGTTGCTGAACTGCAACTCCCACCATCCCTGGCCATCGGCAGTGCCTTTTTTCTTGATAAAAAAAGTTGCCAGTACTCACCCCGCAGTTGTTACAGTAAGGGCCTGTTTTGTCATTGGCCACGACACCAACCTCCCCAGCTGCATTGCAGGGGGTTGGACTAGATGACACTTTGGGTCCCTTCCAATTTTGTACAGTGGTACCTCAGGATACAGACGCTTCAGGTTACAGACTCCACTAACCCAGAAATGGTACCTCAGGTTAAGAACTTTGCTTCAGGATGAGAACAGAAATTGCATGACGGTGGTGCGGCAGCAGCAGGAGGCCTCATTAGCTAAAGTGGTGGTTCAGGTTAAGAACAGTTTCAGGTTAAGAAGGGGCCTCCGAAACGAATTAAGTTCTTAACCCGAGGTACCACTGAAGATTCTCAAAGCCAGATGATCCCCCCTCCCTCCCATCCATTACCATGCTGCACTAACTCATGGTTTTGGCACCTCCGGCGGCTCCTGCGCCCATCCCACCATGCCCATTGTGAGCATTGCCAGTGAGTTGACCACATGAATAGCAGCAGAGTGCAGTGCACTGACAGTGACCAGGCGCCGGCAGGGCTTTGCTCATGCCATGACTCCCCATGAGGGGGGCAGGCGGGGAGGTGCCAGTAGTGCATAACGGTGAGTATTATCATAAAAAAACACTGGCCACCAGTCAGGCTTTCTGGGCTGATAGGAGTTGTAGTTTGGAGAGCCAGTGGTTCTCCACATCTATTTTATAAGATGCATTATATCAGGGTTTCCCAGACTTGGGGCTCCATCTGTTTTTGAACTACAACTCTCATTATCCCTAGCTAGCAGGACCAGTGGTCAGGGATACTGGGAACTGTAGTCCAAAAACAGCTGGTGAAGCAGACCTGTCTGTTACTTCATTGGGGATTTTGGTCTTTTCAGCAGCTGTTGCTGCTGCCTGCAAGTTGCCTGATGTGTCAAGGATGAGCCCACACCAAGAGAAGTGGAAACTCCACTTCTGCATTGCAGGGGGTCGGACTAGATGAACCTTGGGGTCCCTTCCAACTCTACAGCTCTATGATTCCAGCAGCAAGGACCCCCTCGCCCCATGTCTTCAGGCAAAGTACTTAGAGACAGCAATTGCTGGAGTGGTCAAGGCTGGACAGCAACTGAAAAAACTCAGTCTCCAAAGCAACTTCTCCAGCCAAGGAAATGACCATCATGCAAATGAAACAAGAACGGTCTGGTTTTCTCTTTGCTCTGCTCTGCTTTTGCACAAGCTGCGCTCCTTGGAAACACCAGAGCAGACACTTGGCCAGGAGACAGCTTTCGTTTGTTATAAAAGAGGTTAAAGGTTACCAGGAGCACAAAAAGTGTTTTTCTCTTTCAAGAACAATCCTGCCACTGTGTGACTCACGATAACAAAGAGCCCAGTGAGGTCTTAGTGCTGACTAGAGATGTCTGACAAGCCTCAGGCTTGAGGGGTGGGGTGTTTTTAATTACACTGCGTGGATGCCTGTTCAAAACTTCCACCTGCTCAAATATGTGCAGAGAGCTATTTGCTCAAACCTCAAGCAGTATCCTAGATTAGCAAGCCTTCCACTTTCCTTTAGGGGCTGACCTCTGACCTCCTGATTTTGTTGGATTGAAGGTCCCCTCATCCCTGACCATTGGCCATGCTGCCTAGGACTGATGGGAATCAAAGATCACCAACATCAGGGGGACAATGGATTAGCCACACCTGGTTTAAGTAGTGATGTTTTCCTCTTAACACCCACCTTTCCATCATCAACTGACCAAGCAGAGCTGCTCTTAGGCTTAAGGACAAAACATTACACAATCCCTCCTAAAAAAGATAAAAGATAAGATGCGGGGAACCCTTGGCCCTCCAGATTTCCCACACCTGCTCTAAAAGGTGCTTGTTATGTCTACATATTCTCCAGCTGTTTTCATTGATTAAAGGCCATCCTGATTTCCTGTCTTGGGGAAATTACTGTCCAGATTTTGAGCCCCCCTTTTTTTCTTGCTATTTGAGAATGACATACAGTGGTACCTCGGGGTAAGTACTTAATTCGTTCCGGAGGTCCGTTTTTAATCTGAAACTGTTCTTAACCTGAAGCACCACTTTAGCTAATGGGGCCGCCATGCCGCCAGAACACGATTTCTGAAGCAAAGTTCTTAACCTGAGGTACTATTTCTGGGTTAGCAGAGTCTGTAACCTGAAGTGTATTTAACCTGAAGCGTCTGTAACCTAAAGCGTATGTAACCCGAGATACTACTGTATTCAACTGCTGCTAGCGTAAGATGCTAGCACTGTCATTTTCCAGGGTTCAGCTTTCTCTCAAGTCTCCACAATGTCAATATATGAGTGGGTTCATCTTGCCTCCAATGTGCTGGCATAGAAATTTGGGGTGTAAGAAGCCCGTGATTTCCATTCCTACCTGTATTCATCGCAACCAGTCCTGTTTTCTGTTTCACTGGAGTTCAGTTTCTGCCAAATGCTACGTTATTAATTTTGCTGCCCACTATTTAAGCTAAGTCTCCTAACTTAATGTAGCTAGTCACGCAACTTATGTAACTTGCATACAATTCAACGTAAAGGAAATGTCAAAACAATGTAAAAAACAGTCAGTAATCATGCATTGTTTGCAGACTTCAAAGCAACGATGCCAGTGAATAGTAATCATATTCGCTTGACTGATTTCCATTCCTGAGCACACAAACTGCTTCAATTTCTACTCCTTTCTGCATTTTTACTGGAATCCTATGCCATCCCTAATAGAAATGCATGCACATGACCACTAAGGTACCATGTAGCGCTCGGTCCGCCATTTACATTAATTCATTTCAATGCTGTCTTCTCAGCTATTTTGGAAGGGAGATTTAGGATGCAGCCCTGAGGATGTGCATTTGTGTGTGAGGGGATTAATGATGATTAAACTGCCTCCTCCAATCTGCTTGCACCAACAGGGTGGAAGTGAGCCTTCCTCCCTCCTTTTTTATAGTTTCTTCCCATTATTCCCAGTGGGAGAGAAATTAATGGGATGGAACTATGCCAGCTCTGGAGCTGGCATGTTTCCCTGCCTGGTTTTCAGGCATGTCTGAGGTCTTGGGAAGACATTGCATCCTTCAGATCCAAGCCTTCCCTGGTCCAGCCTCAAACCACTACCAGCATACACCCTTTGTGGCCTTACCAATGTAGGACCTCAGAACTTTGGATAGAAATAGCAGGTAAGCAGATTTTGGCTAAGTATTAGGAGAAGCCTCCAGTGGTAAAACTTGAGTGACAGTGGAGCTGACAGCCTCAGAAGGCAGTGGGTTCTCCTTTGCTAGACGTATTTAAGCACAGTTTGTTGTTGCATCCTGCAACGCGCAGGGAATTGGACTAGTTTGCCAATGGTAGAGAACATGCTTTCACATGTTTACAGCAGGGATAGCCAATATGGTGCCCTTGAGAAGTAGCTGTTCCCCTCATTCCTGGCCATTAGACATGCTGTCTGGGACTGGTAGGAGTTGAAGTTCAACACCTGGAGGGCACTGCATTGAAAACATCTGCTTCAGGGCCTTGGGTTGATCCCTGGCAACTGCAATTAAAGAGTCCCAGGTGTGTTTCTAGGAGTGTACATTTCGTCTATTCCCCAAACTTTCCAAATTAGAACCTCCCTTTTAATTTGAAGCAAAAGAGAAGCAGTGTGTTGATGCAGCTGAAGATCTGTGTTCAGCCAATCAGCCATTCTTGCGGGATTATTGTCTTTAAAGTGTAGAATGATAAACAACAGATGGGGGAGTGTTTCACTCAAAGGAAGGGCGCACGCCATGAGAACAAATCACTGCGCTTTGGAACTGAACAGATTTTGCTTTAATATTGCAGATCTGGGGGACTCTGAAATGTGAAGCGCTGCAACAAGGGCTGTGAAATGTGACGTGTAGCTTGTGATGGTCACCAGCAATAGTTCAAGGATCCTTAAAGCACCAAAGCATCCTGAATACAGAGGAATATGGATCTCCATCCAACCGTGATAGTGGAAGAAAACATTTTTGAGAGAGGAAAGGTTCCAAGATAATGAGATGGACCTGTGGGAGGAATGAATGAGAAGCCTAGCAGTGTGCTAAAGGCGTGAGGAGCCCAGGTTCACAGCAAGGGTATGGCCAAACCTTTTTTCAGACCACAGAAGTTTCTTCGGAGGACCCAGTTTCTGCTTTTCTTCCTCACTGCAGCTTATCTGATGGCTGGTAGCCTCTTGCTACTGCAGCGATCCCGCTTTGTCCTCCAGCAAGGTTTCCGTGGGGCCTCTGGGAACCAGGCCCTGCCAGTTGTGGACTCTTTGGTAGGTGCTGGGAGCGCAGATACAAGACCTGTTGAAAACACTCATTTGACTCCTAAACTCCTAGTGAACATGGATACATTCCATGGACCAACACCGGACCAGAAGTATGGGCCGCGGTGGCTGATGTCTAGAAACTCTGAACTGAGGCAATTACGAAGGAGATGGTTTCTCCGGTTTGTAAACGAGCAAGAACCAATGCAGTCTGTGGGAACGAAGAGGCTGAAACACACATCTGAAAGCAAAGGTAAGTGGCTTTCTAAGGATGTCAGTGATGGCTGATGCTCATTTGGACTGGTGGGGCAAAAGTCAGGGCACCCAAATAAGAGATAGAAGGGCAGTTGTCAGGGGGTGCAAAATTTCCACACCTGGTGCTGCCTTAGTACAGCTGCATGCTTCTGTTGCTGGGCTCTATTGAAAATGGTTTCTCCATGCAAACCAGCAAGTGACCTCTTCAGACAGCAGAATGACTCTTCTTATTTCTGCAGCTGCGATCTCCTGGGTAGCACAGACAACGTTAAACAGTTGAATGTGCATGTGTACTCTGTCTGTTTCCTTCCCTCCAACCCCTGTCCATATGGCCCCAGCCACTGGCAACCTTTGCTATGCCACTAATAGGAGGTGAAGCAAAAGCCAACGACAGGCAGAGACCTCTAACTCCAGTTTTGCCCCCAGCCTCCTCCCTGCTGAGTTCTATGAAGGCAACACTGGGATTGAGGAAGAGGAAGCTGGAAGGCAGTGCTACCACTTGTCATGTTTGCAAGTAAGAAGGTAGGAAGGTGGAGATTGGCTTAGGACAAGCAGAGGTTAGTGAGTGAAGTAATTGACTAACCACCAGTGAATAATAGAGAAGTGGAAATTGAGAAATGCACTATCTAAATCAGGCATAGGCAAATTCGGCCCTCCAGATGTTTTGAGACTACAATTCCCATCATCCCTGACCACTTGTTCTATTAGCTAGGGGGGATGGGAGTTGTAGTCCCAAAACATCTGGAGGGCCGAGTTTGCCTATGCCTGATCTAAATCATTGGTGGTGATCCTTTTGCCCTGCTAGAACTCCAACTCCCATCAGCCCTAGCCAGCATGGTCAATCGCCAAGCAGCACCGCCTTGCGACTGGTTGCTATTAAAATTGCCAGGCAGGTGAGGGTTGGCTGAGGGCAGACTGAGATTGGTGGGCAATGCCTCATTCACCCTAATGGACTAGCCTCTCTTCGTATCAGATGAGACTGCTGCAGAGGTGTCAAATCCAGTGGGGCTGAGCGTTTTTGCCCCTCCAATAATGTCTTTTTGGGGGGCAGACCCCCACAATGTTTCCTACCATCAGGGGGCGGAGGAGGCCAAGCACAGAGCTGAGTGTGGCTTCCGTGGCAGGCTCCTCCTCTTCCTGTCATTAAAGGCTGCCGAGAGAGAGAGGAGAAGGAGCCGCTGTGCCCTGTGATTATGACTCTGTCCCCCTGGCTCCTCCCAAAACAACATGTAACCTCGTGTGATGCGTGTATGACATTACAAAGCATGCCCGGCCTGTGTAACAGGTGTGAAATCGCATACATGACCAGGCCCCCTCAATCTTTGGTGCAAGTTGGTGCCTTTTCTCCACAGTCTCAGGCCCCAACAGCAGTATACATTTAAAGCAGTATTGTACCACTCGGAACAGTCATGGCTCCCCCTGAGATCATTCTAGGAAGCGTAGCTTGTTAAAGGTGCTGAAAGTTGTCAGGTGACCTTTGTTTCCTTTAAAGTAAAGGTAAAGGTACCCCTGCCCGTACGGGCCAGTCTTGCCAGACTCTAGGGTTGTGCGCTCATCTCACTCTAGAGGCCGGGAGCCAGCGCTGTCAGCAGACACTTCCGGGTCACGTGGCCAGCGTGACAAGCTGCATCTGGCGAGCCAGCGCAGCACACGGAACGCTGTTTACCTTCCCGCTGGTAAGCGGTCCCTATTTATCTACTTGCACCCGGGGGTGCTTTCGAACTGCTAGGTTGGCAGGCGCTGGGACCGAGTGACGGGAGCGCACCCCGCCGTGGGGATTCGAACCGCCGACCATGCGATCGGCAAGTCCTAGGCGCTGAGGTTTTACCCACAGCGCCACCCGTGTCCCTGTTTCCTTTACAGGGCTGCAATCCCTCATCCCAGAGAACTCTGGGAATTGTAGCTCCTTGAGGGGGATACTGGGGGAGGCTCAGTTTATCTGCAAAGGGGAAAAATTAGTCCTGTGAAACACCACCCAAAGAAACATACAGAAGCTGTCTATAGCTTCCTCCTGCCTGCACCTTCTAACTGGGTTATTGTGGGCGTCTGTTCGCGGTGTACGAACTTCCTAATTGCACATTTGCAAATTGCTCCTTGTCTCAACATCTTATTTCCAGAGTTCTGCTTTTTCCTCGTATATATATAATGTGTGTGTGCGTGCATGTTCGCGCATGTGTGCGCACAAACCTGGAACCATACAATTATCTGCTTATTCTGAATCAATCTGTGGAACACCATCATTCAATATATTGACTGAATTGTATACTTGGGACACCTGTGCAAATCTGGTTCCCCAACCATAAGGAGAGAGCCTATCTTTGTGTTATTTCTTAGTGAGCAGATCCTGCTTAGAATTTGAATGAGCACATTTGGCTAGGGAGCAAAAAAATTGAATGGTTTACACCATCCCAAATAACACATTCAATGATCAGGAACCTGTTGTCTGAACAGGACAAAAGTCACTACTACTCAACCCAACCTAACCCTACAATTACTCTTAGCTTCATGGCTTCAGGACGCACCCCCCTTTTAAAAAAAATTAAGACAAAGGTGAGCAAGAGGAGACAAAGAGACAAAGGTGCATACAAATTAGGCAAGATGTGGAGAAAGTGGATAGAAAGAGTTCTTTCCCCCTCTCTCAGAATACTAGTGGACATCCAATTCAGCACAGACAAAAAGACTTCACAAAGCACTATGTAATTCGCGACAACAAGATGTGATGATGGCCACCAATTTGGATGGCATTTAAAGGGGATTAGACGAATTTTTAAAGGGATTAGACCAGCCTTTCTCAACCTGTGGGCCCCCAGATGTTGTTGGACTACAACTCCCATCACCCCTAGCTAGCAAGGCCAGAGCTTGGGGATGATGGGAGTTGTAGTCCAACAACATCTGGGGACCCACAGGTTGAGAACTGCTGAATTAGTCCAGTTAAATGGCCAGTAGCCATGACTGCTATGTTCTACCACCACTGTCAGAACGCCATATGTCCTTGAATCCTAGTTACTGGGATTCACAGGTCCCGGTCATACTCAGGTTCTGCTTGTAGGTGTCCCATTTGGGCATCTGGTCATCATCTGTGAAAACAGAGCGGTGAACTAGATTCCAGCACCATACAGTGGTTTAAAAGTCATTCCATCTTCTCAGGGAACTAAGATCACAGGAGCTGGGACAGGATATACATATCTGGCAGTGAGGGTGGGGGAAACCCTTGCATTTGCAATCAAATGTTCCAGTCTACAATATTATTTCAAACACTGTGCTATTTTCATCTACTCAAGGCACTTACATTGGATGCTTCGGTGATGATTCCAGGGAGAGGACTCTGAAAGGTGCTGTGTTTTATGACTTGAGAAAAATGACTATTTCTCACTGCCAGGAAGCATGCTCTGAGAGGTAAAATATATGTACATCTTTCTCTATATAAATATATTTGTGTCCTTCGTGCGTTTACATCTCTTTACCAGAATTCAAGGGAACTTCAAATTCCATTTGCTTAAGAAAGGAACTTACATATATTATTTCATTTCATTTATTCATCAGTTGCTTTGTTTCATTGTTGTTCCTCCCACCTTTCATGGACAAGTGATCCCAGGGCAGGTTATGCAGTACCACAAAATCAAACATCAAAACACAAGAATAGATCAACAAAACATTAAAAAAGGATAAAATCTCCTTCTCAATATTGACACCCCTGGCCTCCAAAATCAACACCCCTCTCTGTCAGTAAAAGGTAAAGGGACCCCTGACCATTAGGTCCAGTCATGGCCGACTGGGGTTGCGGCGCTCATCTCACTTTATTGGCTGAGGGAGCTGGCGTACAGCTTACGGGTCATGTGACCAGCATGACTAAGCTGCTTCTGGCAAACCAGAGCAGCGCACGGAAACGCCGTTTACCTTCCCGCCAGAGCAGTACCTATTTATCTACTTGCACTGGCGTGCTTTCAAACTGCTAGGCTGGCAGGAGCTGGGACTGAGCAACGGGAGCTCACCCCGTCGCGGGGATTCGAACCGCCGACATTCTGATTGGCAAGTCCTAGGCTCTGTGGTTTAACCCACAGTGCTACCCGCGTCAGTAGCCTGGAGGAAATGACAAGTTTTTAGCTGGCACCAAAACTAAGCAGTAACATATCCCAAAGAGAAAGGCTTTCTGCAACTGGGAGGTGGAAGGGATGGTGGTGGTGTCGCCAAGACCAAGACTCTTTCTTGAGTGTTTCAGCTATGAGCATCACTCAGAGATGGGTGCTAGCCTATGCACCTCTGAAAAGCAGGTGGGGAGAGCATTGTTGTGCTCATGGACTTCTCTGGTTGGTGACTGAGAACAGAATGCTGCACTAGATGGGCCCACTGGTCTGATGAGCAGAGCTCATATTTTGTCTTCAAGCCTCAGCAGGACAATCCTGGTAGAGGTATTCTCATTCAGATAACTGGGTCTTAAGTCTTGTAGGGCTTTAGAGGTCTTCACTATAACACTGAACTATCCTCCATAGCACGCAGACTCTTCAAAACAAATGCTACAAAGTTCCAGCTGGCTGAACCAATCAGGACATTTTCAGCCACATTCTGTGCCAGTTGAAGCTTCCAAAGCATAAGATCATAGAATTGTAGAGTTGGAAAGTGCTCTGAGGAACATCTAGCCCAATCCTCTCCCTGCAATTCAGGAATATGCAGCTGTCCCACACAAGGATCAAACCTGCAACCTTGGTGTTATCAGCACCAAGTTCTAACCAACCGAGCTATCCAGAGAATCTCATCTTTAAGGACAGCACTGCATACACTATGTACAGCTCTGATATAAATTAAATGCCATGATGTGCTGAGCTGAAGTTTGCTACAAAACTGCTGGATTTTACAGCGAGGGGGTTTGTTTTGTCCCATCTAGGGCTTACACCTATGCTGGCTTGGAGTATGGAGCCGAATGCTATTGTGGAAACAAGTTGCCCACGACTTTGGCAAAGCAGGAGGAGTGCAACAATGAATGCAAAGGAGAGAAAGGAACCATCTGTGGAGGCATCAACAGGCTATCTGTTTATCGTGTGGAGGAGCAGCCATGGGCTGGACCAAAACGACGTAAGTGATGTAAGGCTCTTAAGTGAGTATTTGCTACCAGAAGGGGTGGGCAGCAGAATGCCTGCTCCCCTCGTGTCTTCCATTACAATGACAGCATGGATCAGGGACGACATGGGGATTCTCCTTCCGTTGCAGGCAGTAGGGACTGGTGCCCAGAAGGCAGGGAGACCAACAGCAGGGGGAGACAGAGACAATGACAGGCAGAGCTGAGTAATTCTAGTTTAGCTCCATCCTCCTCCCTGCCAAGTCCTGCAAGGAGGAGGAAGAGGGTGACAGCCACTGCCACCCACTGGTCTGGCTGCAAGTAAAAAGGCAGCAGGTGGAGGCTGGCTAAGGCAGTGCCCCACTTCCCATAATGAATCAGCCTCCACTCATTGGAGAGATTCCCATTATATTTGTTTCATGCTCCACGGGCCTCCTTCCACCAGAGAGCTGACAATTTTCATGAGTCTGGTGGCAGGTCCATCAGAGAAAGGAAGAATTCAGCACTGTTCCAGATCCACACTCTTACACGTCCACAGCCAGTCTCTGGAAACCCCTGGCCCTATGTTTCCATTGCCTACCATAGCTGCTCATTTCCCTACCCTCTCTGAGCACACAAGCAGTGATATGAAAGGGGAGATATAGCCGTTTTCTTCCCCAGGGTTGTTTTGCTATCTGTGTGCCGTGTACCTATATGAGCAAATTCTCCACTGGCAGAGCCAGGTGGGGCCAGACAGTTGCTCTGCAGAGAATCCCCTTTGCTTTAACTGTGGTAGAAGGCACCAAGTTCAGAGGGACTCAGTGTTTGGGTGGCTTTAAAAGAGGATTAGACAAAATCATGGAGGAAAATAAGGCTATCATTGGCTACCATCCATGATGGCTATGTTCTACCTGCAGAGCAGAGAGTGCTCTTCTGCTCAGGTCCTGCTTGTGGGTTTCCAACAGGCACCTGATTGGCCATCATGAGAACACAGTGCTGGACGATGGACCATTGGCTTGATCCAGCTGGTTCTTATGACATCTAGAAATAGTATTAAGATTTCAAACCATCTTTTTAAGATGACACCATGGAAAAACAAAAACAGGGACAACGTCAGGATAGTGAACCAGGACAACAATCTACCTGGGACAGACCAGAAAACATTTCTAGTCTCTGGTTAAAAAGCAACAGTTGACACCTATGCAGTTCTGTCTGAGAACTAGGCCTGTGTCCATAGTCTATGACTTGCCCTGTGTGCACATAACTTAAAGTGCGATGATACGATGGGCAGAAATGAGCATCCTCAAAATCACAGTTGGATGCTGAGATAGAAACAGGCACTCTCTGCTGCTGGCCCCAGTCCTTTGCATTTGGTAACAAAAGGGACGTTCTTTCTGAATGTAGAGGCCCCAGCTCATATGCATTTGAAAAGAATTCCAGGAGATGTCAAACTGCAATCTTACTGACCGCTCATTTGCAAAGTGTCACTGCCCTTGCAAAACCGGTTCATGATAAGTTCATGGTGATTTTGGAGGGCACCTCTGTATTTTTCCACCTCTTCCCACTGGGGAAGGAATTGGTTCTCAGCTTAAGATCAAAGCAGGAGCTGGCATGCCTTCTTGTGAGCTTTCATTCTCGTATTCCTGCCTCTGCCTCAAATGCAAGAGGTGGACTTTGTTTGTAGATCGAAATCTTGCTGGAGTGTCAGTAATCCAGAGCTTCATTTCTTTGGTTCCCATGGTTACAGGGACTCTTTATAAGCAGCAAGAGTGAAGCAAAGCAAATCAGTGGAGCTGAATGGAAAGACCATAACGGGGGTAGAGGGAACAATGGGGGGTGCTGATTCACATTGAGGGGGTCAGAAGCCATCCCTAGTTCTCATGACACTCTCCATCTTCTTCTTTTTTAAAGAATAATTTTATTAAGTTTTCAATTTTACATTTCCAGATAAACATTTTACAAACTTAAATATATCCAGTGACTTCCCTTCTTCTCCTTCCATGGTTCATTTTACATATCATACACCATATTTTGCTATAACTATTCAAATCAGTTTTCCATTTTTACATCCATCAAAAATTATTTGTTCAATTTATCTTAGTGCTGCCAGCATTTTCAGCTGTGTATACAGTTATTTTCCATATATTCAATAAATGTTTTCCAATCTTCTTTCAATGTATGTTCTTCTTGCTCTCTTATTCTTTTTGTTAAATCTGCAAGTTCTGCATATTCTGTCAATTTAAGTTGCCAATCCTCTTTAGTTGGGACCTCGCTCACTTTCCATTCGGGGCTAACAAAACACGGGCTGCAGTTGTTACATACATAAATAACCTTTTCTGACACCTAGGGATTTCAGTCTGTGTTACTCCCAACAAAAAATGACTTTGTTTTTTTTTGGGGGGGGGGAAGTACTTTTAAACATTTTTTCCAATTCATTATAAATCATTTCCCAATACTTTTACCTTTTTACATGTCCTTTGCCTTTGATTATATGGATACCATCACCAAACAGGACAAAGGAATTCCAAAGGATTTGGGGAGAAAATCAATCTTGCTTGCATTTTAATGTGAAAACACCTGATTTGCACTTCTCAAATCATCACACACCCCACACACCCCGTCCTTCATAATCTGCACTTCTCCAAATTTGGCAATGCAGCTCTGCAGCTCAACTTGGGGCTTGAACCCACAACCATGGGCTTAAATGCCACATGCTCTGCCAATTGAGCTGCATTGGAAAGTGCAAATTAGATAAACTCACCTTTAAATGTGAACTGAATTTAACTTCTTCCCCAACCCTAGCTTCACAATCTGTATGGGATTGTTTTGTCTGGGCGGTTAAGCGTTCCAAGTAAGTCTTCCAGCTCGAGTTGGTCATTGGGACATCCTGAGAAGCTTCCAGACTAGAATGGATCTCATCCTGACTATGACTGGTTCTCCTTTCCCAGCTGCCACCCAGCACGGACATTGCTTCTTCATTGAAAACTTGGAATTCAACTCGTTTTTGAAAGGTTCCCTTCCTCTCTTTTCTTACATTCCTTTAGACTTCATGTGAGATGCAACTGGGAATAAAAACGCCTTTGATTTGTACAGCACATCTCAGCCACTGAGTCATATAGACTCTTCTCAAACTTACAACTCCCCATGGATGCTATCTGTGGGAACGGAACATTAGAATTTTAACTCCTAGCAGCAAAGATGGTGTTTCATTGCTTTTTTAAAAAACAGGTTGTTTATTAATTTATTTTTTTTAAAAAATACTATTATGCACGCTGCAGAGACTCACACAAATCTTGGAAAGATTTCTGGAATTTGCATCATTGCTGAACTCAGTGCTATCTGGTTAGATATTTAAATAAACAATTTCAAGTATTTTTTTTGGGGGGGGTAGTATTGTTCTATGAATGAGTGTTGTCTTCTTATGGACCAAGATGGATTTAAAAATAAATGCCACCATGCTGGGTGGCTGATGACAAGCACTACCTAGAAATTGTTGAGATGAGAAGATGGAATAGATATAAGAAATTTCACCCCTTCCTCTTACCTAGCTCTCCCTACCTTTACCATCATAGACTTCTCTCTCCATTATCCCTATTATAGGGGTGCCTGTATTCCACTCCCCTTCTGCATATCTTGAGGCAAGGAAAAGGAGACCCAATACCTGGCTGGCAAAACCCAGTAAATCCACCAGCTCAAGGAGCAGCAATGATACATATTGTAATACCCTAGCCAGCTAAACCACCCAATCAATATTTCAACTGCAATGTACAATGTTCATTCAGCAGGTGCTTAATATAACCATATATTCCGTCAGACAGCAGAAGCATCAGGCGCAAGTGATGACAATAGAAGATAAAGAACAAAATATCAACATATCAAAATTCACCGCGCTTCAGAGGCTGGCATATTATCCCTCTGAATTCTCACTCAGAGTGAAACCATAATTCAAAACTCTCTTTTCTTCTCACATTGGAAGATGACAATGCCACCTCTGAATGCCCACCCTTGATAAGCCCCTCCCCTCCCCTCCCTTTGGCAGGAATGACCAGCGGCACAAATTTAAAATGGGGCATAGCTGGCCTGCCAGTAGTACATGTGAAAAGGGATCTAGGGGTCTTAGTAGGCCACAAGCTTAACATGAATCAATGGTGTGATGCAGCAGCCCCCCACCCAGCCAAATAGCTCATGCAATTCTAGACTGTAACAGAAGTACAGTGTACAGGTCAAGGGAAGTCATAGTCTCACTCTGTTCTGCCTTGGTAAGACCAGAACTGTGTCCAGTTCTGCATGCCACAGTTTAAGAAGGATGTTGAGAAGCTAGAATGTGTTGAGAGGAGGGTGATCAATATGATGAAGGATCTGGAAACCAAGCCTTATGAGAAATGGTTGAGGAAGTTGGGTATATTTAGCCTGGAAAAGAGGAGATTGGGAGGAGATATGATAGCCATCTTCATATATCTCAAGGACTATCACATGGAAGATGGAGCAAGCTTGTATTCTGCTGCTCTGGGTGGTAGGACCTGATTCAGGTTACAATCAAGGAGATTCCAACTAAACATCAAGAAGAGCTTTCTGATGGTAAGAGCTGCTTGGCTGCGGAATGGACTTACTTGGAAGATGGTAGATTCTCCTTCACTGGAAGCTTTTAAGCAGAGGTTGGATTGCCATCTGTCATAGATGCTTTAATTGAGATTCCTATATTACAGGGGTTGGACTAGATGACCCTCAGGGTTCCTTCCAGCTCTACAATTCTTTGATTCTATTATTCTTTCTCTCTTGTACAGCAGGGAACCCCCTTTCCAGGATAGTATTTACTGTGCACATGCAGACATCACCTAAGAACAAGCAAAAAATGCTTCTTCCCTCCCCATCTGGACGACTGTTTCACTCCTATGCAGATCTAATCAACAACTTAATTGAATTAATCAATTTAAATGCATACAATCGCTTGACTAAGATTTCTTTAATTGCGGACTAGAACTCCCCCACTTTCTCCTCTGAAACCAAATCTTTTTAACTGTTTCAGTTAAGAGATGGCGATTTTGACTAAGCTTCTGCCAATGATTTTCCGAGCAAGCACCCAGGATGGATTGAGATTTCAATCCTCGCTGTCATCCTCTTCTTTACATGGTCACTTGCTGGATCACAGCTGAGCCTCATCTGATTTATTCCTCCTCCTGAGGGAGGAGAGGTGGAAGGAAGGCTGTACCTTTTCTCCCAAGAAAACCCCCAGAAATAAAGCTTGCTGGTGACCCAATGCATATCAGTTTGGGGGTGGTCAGCAACCACCTTTGTTCTTGAGGTCCAGGGACAAGGGTGGAGAATTGGGGGGGGGGGGTCAAGGCATGGTTCAGAATGTGGTCAGGGCCTTAGACATCAGATCTGTGAGACTCCATATGGCTTGCTTATCGAACATTCATCCTTTTTTATTTGCCCAAAGCTGACATGGGAGATAAAATTGCATCCAGCCTTTATGGAGCATTCATTCTGAATTGTTTGTGTGATTTGTTATGTGTCCAGTAGTCATCCCTATTTGCCTGCAGGGTGTTTCCACATTTCCCTGTTACTCATTTGTTAATCCCAATGCATTGCCCCATTACTTTCCTAACCACAAAAGACAATTCCCCCCCCCTTTTTATAAAAAAAGCTAATTTGTTGTTCTAGGGTGACAGCACTGCTTAATCCATTTTAACTGCCCAAGCCTAAGCTGTCCATGTTCTGGCAACTTCTCCTTTGGACTACTGTAATATGGGGCTGCCCTTGAAGATGTCCCATAATGCAACTGATAGGCTGGTCAATGGGGCAGCCTGATGGGAGCATGTGTCAGTGGTCCTGAAAGCACTGCATATAAAGTCCTAAATATCTTGGGACCTGGGTTGGGACCATGTCAGAAACACAAATGTATCCATAAGAACACAAAAAGAGCCCTCTGGCAGTGTTGTAGCATGGGGGGGCACAGGCGAGGTTGCCCCAGATGCAAAATTGTTTAGGGGGTGCAAAATTTCAACACCTGGTGCTGCCTTAGTACAGCTGCGTGCTTCTGTCGTTGGGCTCCACTGAAAACGATTTCTCCATGAAAACCAGGAAGTGACCTCTCCAGACAATGGAACGACTCTTCTTCTTTTTTTCCCTCTGTAGCTGCGATCTCCTGGATCACCTGGACACCATTAGGCAGTTGCATGCGCATGCATTCTCTGTCCATTTTCTTTGCTCTCTCCAACCCACCTTCTCTGTTTGGCCCCAGGTGCTAGCAACCCACGCTACACCACTGCCCTCTGGATCAGATCAATGGCCCATCTTGCCATCACAGTAGCTGAACAATTGCCTTTGGGAAACCAGCAAGCAGGATTCAAGCACAAGAACACTCTCCCCTCCTGTGGTTTCCAGCAACTTGTATTCAGGAACATTGCTGTGGAGGCAGAACATATCCATTTGGCTAGTAGCCATTGATATCTCTCTCATCCATGAGTTTCTTTAATCCTCTTTTAAAGCTACTCATGTCAGTGACCATCACTGCCTCCTGTGGGAGAGAGTCCCATAGTTAAACTATGCGCTGTGCATAGTCCATCTAACAAATATGATCGGTATTCTTGGTTGCTGTTGCTTTCAGTCTTCATACAATATGTGACCATCACTGTGTTTCCTTTGCATTGAAATGAATGGGGTTGGATGATGTATTGACCATGCAATTTATGTAAGTTACATAATTACTTTTTCAAATTGCATCAATTACATAAATTTGCTACAGTGGGCAGCCAGGTAAATAACATAGTTTTGGGCAGAATAGGAACTGTAGCAGACTGGAAGCAATGCTGCATGTGACAAACACAGTGTGGGATTATGGTCATCTGATACCTCTGTCAGTAGAGTATGAGACTCTTAATCTCAGGGTCATGGGTTTGAGCCCCATGTTGGGCAAAAGATTCTTCAACACAGGGGGCTGGACTAGATGACCCTTGTGGTCCCTTCCAGCTCTACAATTCTATGATCTATGCATGCAAAGTTATGCCTTCTTACATCCCTTACAGAAATATGCAGTTGCTCTGTGAGGGACCTCATTATTATTTATGTTATTTCTGAGTTTATTTTGGCACATCCAGGGCTCTGAGGCTGCCGTTTATGAATAGCAAAATTAACATAAAGTAACCATGCAAACTATATGAATGTGGCATTTAAATTTAAAAGGCAGGGTTGGTTTGGTCAGATGACCTCTGAGTTGCTTCCAGTTCTTTACAACCCCATGAATCTACGATTCGGCCCACATGTTCCTGTCTCTTTGGCTGCCGCAGCAGAAATCTATTTTAGCTCCTGAAGGTTGCATATAATCTCTCTGGCTTGGAAAAGAATGAATATGAGAAGGTGCTGTGGATGGAGTAGTAACCAAACACACCCGCACAGCCCCGGAATGGGGCTCCCTGAAGGTGTTTCAACAACTCATTGAAATTCCATTTTGTTCCTGGTGCAGCTCATGAAAAGCTTTGTAGATTTTTATCAGAGCTTTCAAAGCCTTGCAGGGGAAAGTCAGGAGGGGTGGGAGGGAATCTTCAAAAGAAAACCAAGGCATGAAAACAATAGCAGAGGCCTCCTTGGGGGAGGGGGGATGTAATTTCAACTCTTCTGTGCTAAGGCACACTTTAACAGCCAGGACTCCACTAGAAGCTGTGTGTTCATTTCAGCAGAGCAAATTTTCTCACTTTCCATCTCAATGCCAATTATTGCATCCAAATAGTGAATGAGAATATATATTCTGAAACTAATATTCTTCCCTGTGATAGGAAGAGGCTGCTACGGTTGTTGTTTCTTGAGAGATAACTATTTCTTATCCCTGCAGGGCAGAATATTATCTATCGAGGGTGTTTCAGAGCACCAGAGAATTTAACAAACACCTTGCCGGTCTCTTTGATACACGCCAATTTGACAGTGGAGATGTGCTCCGAATTTTGCTCCAAGAAAGTAAGGACAGTTCCCTTTCTTTTCTTCTCCCCATCCCTTCATCTGATTTTCATCAGTTTCCTAGCGCCTCTGGAGCCTGATACTAGGAAAAGAGAGAGGGAGAGAGAGCGCTCTGAGGTTCTGGGGTGGGAAATGCGTGTATAATTGCTTTTTAGAACCATAGCTGATGATGCACATTTCAAAGGAAATCAGATTTCTGTGCTGCTTTTCCTCAGTGACACCTAACAACTTTGAATTCTGGCAGCTTTCAAAAGTTTCAGCATCCAGAGGTATTTCAGCTTATATTTCCAGTACAAGTTTCTAGACCTTGTGAGTGCAGAGAAGGGGCTGAAAGTGATGGATCTTTCCCAACCATTGCATTCCCGCAGGCCACCTAGCTCTTTGGCAATGGAAGCTGAGCTGTTCCATTTTTATATCAACCTGTCCAGTGCTTAGGGGGGGTATTGTATAGATGCTTATTGGAGAATGTGGGAGGGGGGGAATCCCAAGCCTTGAATACTATTATGATGCTTGCCAGCTTGGGCAGATGGTTTCTCTCATTGTAGAAAATGAGTGCGCACCATGGGTAAAAATGGAAAACGCCGCTATAGATGGAACTCTGTTGAGTGTTTACCCATTTTGGAAACACAATTTTCAATCTTTGACATGGCTAGCCAATAGTTTTCAAAGCATTTTGAGGGAAAGAAATCACTTGCATCTGCTGGGACATTGACTCCATGGTTACAGCAGATGAATCTTGAGAGGTTTCCAGAGCGCTGCCTAGTCCTGTTGTGTTTGATGTGTTTCAGTTAGTAAGGCTCGAGGAAGTGGACAAGGTTCTTAGATTGGTCAGAGTGACCACTTGTGCTCTGGACCCTTGCTCCCCTTGGCTGCTAAAAACTAACAGGGAGGGGACAGCTGGCTGGGCCAGGGAGGTGGTTAATATGTCCCTGCGAGAGACAGTGGTCGCTGCCGGCTTGAAGGAGGCAGTGTTGAAACCACTCCTCAAGAAACCCTCCCAATACTTGGAAAATCTATGCAACTACCAGCCAGTTGCTAATCTTCCCTTCTTGGACAAGTTTCTTGAGCAGGTGGTTGCAGAACCAGAACCAGGCACTCTTGGAGGAAACTGATTTTCTAGATCCATTTAAATCAAGGTTTAGGCCTGGCACTGAAAATGTTTTGGTTCCCCTGTATGATGACTTCTGTTGGAAGAGAGAAGGGAAAAAGTGTCCTTGTTAATTTCCCCTGACCTCTCAGTGGCTTTCAGTATCATCAACTGTGGTATCCTTCTGGAGCGGCTCTCTGAATTAGGGGTGGGTGACACCACTTTGCAGTAGTTCTGGTCCTACTTGGAAGGCCGTTTCCAAAGGGGAATGCTTGGGGAGTGTTCTTCGGCCCCATGGAGCCTTCAATGCAGGGTTCCTCAGGGCGCAGTTTCGTCCCTCATGTTGATGAAACCAATGAGCGGGGTCATCCAGAGCTTTAGTTTTCAAGCCCTGCCCCCCTCTTCTCCTTTCTTGGGACTCCTATTTAATTCAGATGTGGGCAGGAGAGCCCTTCAACCAGAGGAATCCTTTGAACAGAGGGTTGTATTCTGACAGCCAATAAAATAGAGCAAAGATAGCCAACATGGTATGCTTCAGATGTTATCCTAGTTCCCACAAACGTTCCCATTTGATCATAATTTCTCCAACATTCTCCTTCAATGCCTTCACTTATAAATCAGAAGAAGATGCTTGGTGTTATTTGTTTTGTGGAAATGAGCTGTTAGAAATCCTCTCCGGAGCTGAAAATTGCTCTGCATTTTCCAAAGCAAAGCCAGGCTGCTCAAATCATAATATTGTAAATAAAGCAGCATTATCATCAAAAATTCTCAAATCATTGGGTAAAATGTGCAGAGATGTGACAGTTTAATATGCTTAAAGAAAGAAAACATTACAGTAAGTTGAGTGAGCAAGCTTCTTTTGATTATTGCAAATGCCAACAAATTAAAGTCAACGACATTCCAGGCAGAGAAAGTATGCTTTTGTTATGTTTCATTCTCTAAATTGGTGTCTGAGATGTTTTATTCTCTAATTTGATGACTGAAATTTCAATCTGTATACTCATTTGGATCTATTTTTCCTTGCATTTAAATGCCGTGACGGCCTAACTGCCTAATTCAGGTGGAAGTAAGTCAGATCCACTAAAAATAAGTCCAGATAGGACAATTATTGTCAAGGGAATTCAGTTCAGTTCATGGCAGTGCCGGTGAGCAGCAATCAGGACCATGGTTAGCTCCAAGTGGGCACCGCTAGCTGAGCTACAGAAATATGTTGTTTCAGCAAAGGAAGTCTCACCTGAATGTTCAAAAGGTGGCCTGCATCCCTGTCTACAATCCTTAAATGACCTGCATCTGGTTCTGTAGTCACATGTTTCTCTGTGGCTGTGGAGCAGGTTAAGCTCTCATGTATGAGTTGCATCCCCAGGCTGTCAAGGGGTAGAAGGGATTGTTGTGGGTTTCTGCCTGAGTGAAGTGTCCTGTGATTCACCCTAAACTGAATCCTCCTCAGGAGCATACTAGAATGCAGGGGGCATGACAGTTAGCTACCACCATTCAAGGTGCCTCTGTTGACCAGTACAGCTTTTTACACTTGTGGTCTGGGCTATATGTATAAAGCACCTGAGTATCTAATGAATGCCCTAATGCCCTAATGGACCTGCCTAGTCCTTTTGCATCATCAGAAGCTCTTCTCTAGGTGATATGGCCTTCTAGGGATCAGGGCCTTTTCTGTAGCAGTGCCTCATTGTGGACCAGCCACAGCTAGGAATGCTTGAACATGCCTGAGATGCATCTCCTGGATTCATATGCAAATTGAAATATGGTTGTCTGCAGAATACACACCCACAACAAATTATTTAAGGTGCTCCCCCTTTTTAAAAAAACAACTACAACAACAACAACAGGCAATAGCTGCCTGAAGAGGTTCCTGCCCTACACATTGAATACTGGACTGCCAATGCCCCCGGAGAACCAGGGAACAAGCTCCATACTCAGTGCTAATTTCCTAAGAAAATGAACGCCTCCCTTGCTCTCTTATAATGGCAATGACACACACCTGAGAGGTGCTGGAACTGAGTTCCAGTGAGTTCCTACTGAAAAAAAGCTACCACCACCACCACCATTACTTCTACCCCACTTTTTCCCCTGACAAGGACTCAAGGTGGCATATCCAAGCTAATGGTCATCATTCCCTCTTGCAGGACGAAATCCCCAAATTTAACTCCGTGTTGCACGAAGAAGGCTTTCTTTTGTCTGTCCTGAATCTTCCAACACTCTGCTTCTTCGGATGAGCCCAATTTCTAGTGTTATGTGAAAGCGAGAAAAAAACCACACCTCTCTCTATCCACTTCCTCATAGAACCATAGAATCATAGAGTTGGAAGGGACCTGAGGTTTATCTGTTCCAACCTATATCCTGTCCATTCTTATTTGCCTTTTCTTTTCTAAACTAAAAAAAGCTCCAGATGGTGAAACTTTCTTCAGACAGGAGCTCCCACACCCCTTGATCATTTTGGCTGCCCTTTTCTGAAGCTTTCACAGCTCTGCAGCATTATTTTTGAGGTGAGGTGACCAGAATCTATCACAATATTTCAAGAGCTGTGTCAACATAGATTTGTAAAGCTGCATTATGATATTGGCAGTTTTCTTTTCAATCCATGTTCTAATGAACCCTGAAACAGAATTTGTCTTTTTCCTCAACCAGAGCTGCCACACACTGAGTCAGCACCTTCATCAAGCTATCCACCATGACCCCCAGTTCGTACTGTATATGGGGACATGACACAAAGTCTCCCTCTACACCACACACCTGTAACAAGTTCTATTTTTTTGAGAATGACTCACAGCCTATCCCCTACAAATTTACTTGGAAGGAAGCCCCACTGAGAGCAATGGGTCTTCCTCCCTGGTAAATGTGTCTACAATTTCGATCACCACCTGTTCCTTGCTTTTTCTTTTTCTTTTTCTTTTTTTGAAAAGAGATTTTTAAATCCAAACAAACTGAATCTCCTTGTAGAATTCACAAAAATAGTTTAAAAGAGCCACCATTTTTTCTCCCTGCCACGTTTAACCTAAAGGGGAAGTCAGAATGGGATGGTTTGAACCCAATTATGTTGACAACTATTTAATGCCTCGTCATGCCGCCAGAACACTGGAAGAGAGCCTTAGGGACTCTCCATAAATTACCTCATTAGGAGTGGATCATTACATTTGTCCAACAGAGCCTGTGTTCGCTGCATGAGAACAACACAGGGAAATTTTGCATAGGACACATCTAGGTGTCCTGCTGCTTTGATCAGACACTTTTTATGCATTGCTTGGGGAAAGACCTACCACAATTATCCCACCCCCACTGTAAAGATGAACAGGTTTAATGGAGGTGTGTGTGCGTGCCCATGAACGTCTTTAGTTTTATCAAGAGTTATGTAACATGGTTTAATTGGGCCTCATTTTTCCACGTACAGAGTTTGCATCTCTTTTGCTGGTGGGGTTTCCTTTACCTAGGCTTGATTGTGGTGTGGCCTTTGAGCATGATCAGAATTTGAGAGAAGGCATTTTGTCACCTTTGCAGAATCAGACATAGCTGGGATTCATGTCAAAAAGCATTGCGTATTTCATTTCATTGACTGTGTTGCCTACTCTGTCACATGGCACAAAGTGGCTAAGATGCAGCGCTTTTGTGACCGTGTAGAGAATGGAGGCTATGATGATGCTATGAGGAGGGGTGGAATCTGAGGCTATTTAAAAGGGCTGTCAAAAGCCTCCTCCCTAAATCTGTTCTGGGCCCCCCACTCCTGGGCTGACCTGTGCCAACCCATGCCAACCCAAACCATATCTGGCCAGAATTGATTTGTGTTGGGAACTCCAATGCTGGTCCTACTCAGAGTAGACCCACTGAAGTTAATTGACCTGACAAACTTAGATTCCTTACCTTCAGTGGGTCTATTTGGAGTAGAACCTACTTGAACACAACTCACTGTTTTCTTACTGTGCAATGTATGCATTGATCAATCCAGTCTAGCTCACACAATTCATTGGCTAAGTAGTCAGCCTGATCAACCCTCTAAATTCTGACAGCATCCACAAGAAGAAATGTGAAGAAAAAATGGTTTGGAAAAGGAAAATACTTATCTGAGACAGGACAATTCAGAAGAGGAAAATTGAACTTTAGGTTTTCCCTTCACATTCGTTTCAGTTCCAGGTGATGCTTCCTAATGTTTGCTAGCCTTTTTTTTTATTCCAGCCTTTTATTTTATTTTCTAGGAATTTCCTTTGGCAGCCATCAGAGGACCCCAGTGCCGCTGCGGCTTCCCAACAATTCATTTCCCGTTACGCAACAGCTCAGACAGCTTATTCTGTAGCAGGTTGCAAAATGGCAGCAGCACGGCTGAAGAGCCAAAGAGGGGGGACTATCTCTTTGTCTATCAAACTCCTGTCCAAGGTAAGAGAGAGGTTGAATATATATAATAACAATAACTATGTGCAGGGAGGTGCTGTGCATCTTACACCCCAAGCAATGAGGCAAGACACTTGCTGTTGGGTTAAGTAGTGCCATAATTTTATTAATGCATAACAGGAGAAATCTGCAGTGAATACTGCAAGCTGTCCCAGGACATTGGATAAGGGTGAGCAGCCTTGCAACCGCCCACTGTTGCCTAGGATGGTGTGTCTGACAGTGCCCTGAGTCTACGGACTCAGCTAAGCAGCTGCAAATAAAACGTTTTAAATGTGTTGTAAAGTGCCATATGCAAATCGGACAGTAGATTGCGACAGTGAGCTATGCAAAATTCAATGTATTTTTCAAAACTTTTTTTTTTAAAAAAAAATTTTCACAGCGTTTTTTTATATGTGTGTAGATTCCACCTAGCATTTAAGAATGGGGAAGAAATTCAATTCAGTTTGCATTTAAAGGCAAACCTACCCAATTCTCACTTTCTGAAATGGCACACGAACTCTCTGAAATGCACTCATCTTTTGCAATTTGCTCTTCTCCAGATTTTTCAATGCTGTTCTCCAACTAAGTAATGTATACAAAAATGCAGAGACCAAATTCAAGTTTATTACCAAAAATTCAACTTGCCTCATGCTGGACTGACATTGTTATATTAGAGAAATTTACAGGGAAGGCCACAGTCATCAATGGCGTATCAAAGACAGGCAAATCTGAGGTGAAATGGTTGGATCTTATATCCTGTATTAATGAAAACCACTTGCAGCAGCACGTACTTACTGCCTCTCTTTTTGTATGGAGCTTGTGAATGACACCACACACACACACACACACACACACACAGGCTCATCTGTATTATTACATTTTCTCCTGCACACTGAAATCGCCAACGTCCCTTTGTTTTTGCGTGTGTTTGTTGAGTAGTGGTCTTTTTGTTTGTAACTGTTTTTCTATATATACAAAACCAATTCAAAAAGACTCTAAAAATGCACAAACTGATGTAAAGTGTGCATTAAACAACTATAAGCCCAGACTAGACCTTAGCAGTCTACCTTCAAGAGAGGAGAAGCCTCTTTACAGGGGGTTGTATCAAGCTTAGATCCATTAAAGTTATTGTCAGGGAACTGGTCAGGGAGCTAGAAGCAGAGGGAAGGCTCTCAAATGATGCTGGAGAAGGGCCCAGCAGGGAGAGAGGCAGCTCCGCAGATGGGGAAGCAAATCAGCGCAACACCAGGGATAAAGAGGGGCTGATGGGGGAATCGGCGAGAGGGCTCCAGGACTCTTAACCGGACACCAGTGGGGAGAGCACTGGTCCCCCGCTACCCACGCCCACCCTGCGCAGAAGACTTCCGCGCAGAGAGAGTAGGAGGAGACTGGGTGTCAAACAACTTTTATGATGGAAAAGATTTAAGAAACGCCCACTGACGGATTCTGCTAGCGACTGAGGCAGCCACGAAGTGAAGGGCTGCTCAGACTGAAAGGTTTAGCAAGGCAACAAAGCCTGGAGAGGCGGCAACTTACGCACGAGCAACCCATACACATTACAGTTATGGATCTAAGTAAGTCATTTCAATGGTTCTACCCTGAGGAGGACTAGCATTGCATACAACCTGGGCTCATTGTCTGCTTCAACAACAGCATAGGGGAGACTGGTTCTACTAGATCTTCTGGGCTGGAGTCCTTAGAGCTGGAGGCAACCTCCTCAGGCCAGAAAGTGCTGGCTGTTGCTGTTCCAGAGGTTCTGGGGGCTGGTTCGGGAGCCAGGCCCTCAAAATCCATGGATCATCCTCTGAGGAGGCCTATACTTTTAAACCATGACCAGAAATCAGGAGACATATGTGTAGATGAACCTTAGGGGCTCATCCTGAGGAGAAATATTGGAAAAATTTCAAGGGAGACCAAAAGAGAGTCAATAAGACTACTGAAATGTATTAAAGCTGTTCTACACTTCCCTTAACTATTCACAATGAACTGACATTGATTTTGACTGGGATGATATGCCACAGGGAAATCCATCTCTCTCTTTCTCTCTCATCTTGTGGTAATGCAGAATATATCCACTGCACTTGCAATATTGATCTGCCCTTAAGGGAGAAAAAAATTGCAATACAGATAGGCAAGACCAGCTTTGAGAAATAAGAGTCAGGGAGTATATATTCAAACATGTCTGATTTGGATCTTTTCCTGGAGAAACCGCTAGCACAGACAAGTCTTAAGTAGATAATTAAGAGACAAACATTAAGCGTGTCCAAATCTATCTTGCTGGTAGGCAGAAAATCCTTTGTTTTATGGTGATAGAAAAGCTTAGCTGGAATTCTAGGGCTGGAGGGGATGAAATTATTATGCCATCCAACCCCCTGTTCCAAAAGCAAGACCACCAGCCTCAATAGATCAAGCTGTGCAGTCTTAACCACAACGCACCCCAAGCAGATAGTTGATCCTTTGTTAAATAAAATAAAATAAACTCACAGAGCAAATACTTAATGCAAAAGAGCCAAGCCACATATATTGTTGTGGTTGTTTTTTAAAAAAAGGTTTCCAGGGCAAATATGTTAATTCAATAGTCATCTACTGTAGTGGAAAGCAAAACTAACAAAAGTGACAAGCCAATCTGACCAGGGTTGTCAAGAGATGAGTTAAAAAGGTACTCTGAATTCTTTCTTTCTTTCTTTCTTTCTTTCTTTCTTTCTTTCTTTCTTTCTTTCAAAAACAAGCAAGTTTCTAGTCTTCCTAGAAGAAAAGATATGAAGCCAAATGTCCTATGCAACTTTTCAGAGATGAAACCAACCTGCTACTCCAACCTTTCATTGTCTTTAGCCAATGCATGAAGTCAGAACTGTAATTAAAAAATGATTTCTTTGGATGCTGGGTGATAAGAATCCCTTTGGTCCTAAATAGCTGCTGTTCTCCCCTCTCCTTCAGTGCAACTTCTATTCCTGCTTCTGTGAAACTGCATTTGTTTGGGGCAGGGGGCAGGAAACCTTTTCAGCAGGGGGCCGGTCCACTGTCCCTCAGACCTTGTGGGGGGCCGGACTATATTTTTTGGGGGGAAATGAACAAATTCCTATGCTCCACAAATAACCCAGAGATGCATTTTAAATAAAACGACACATTCTACTCATGTAAAAACATGCTGATTCCCGGACTGTCCGTCGGCCGGATTTAGAAGGCAATTGGACCAGACCCCAGGCCTTAGTTTGCCAACCCATGGCTTAGTGTGCCTGTTTGTTTATCAAGCTTAACTAACTGGTTTTTATTTGTGTTTTGCTATAAAATACCAGGAGTTGAATGCAGCTATCAAAGCATGGAGGGGGTGATATGCCTACCTTCCTGGCCTTATGTCTCTCTGTGTGTTTTTCCTTAGTGACTCATCACTTCTCTTTGACCATGAGTGCTGTATCTTTCTCTCTCTCTCTCTCTCTCTCTCTCTCTCTCTCTCTCTCTCTCTCCCACCCACACACCCACAATTTTTATTGGTTTTTAAACAAATACAAATGCAACTATAAAACACTTATCCAGCAGTACAGATAAGTGTACTGTTGCTAGACATACACATACTTTCAACATTCAAACATATTACTTGACATAACCCCTCCACTGAGAATATTGAGTTGTTGATGTAACAAGGTCTTTATTTGGGCCATCAACATAGGTAAAGAAAGGGGTCCATGTTTCTTGGAAGGTGTCTCTAACTTACAGATGTTCATTTTTATTTTTGCCATCTTTACTCTAAAATTTCAAGGATGTAGCAGTAGAATGGAATAACTGAAATATTATCCAGCCTACTTTAGGAAAGTAAAGTATGTGGGTGTGCTTGGTTATTGCTATTATGCTCAACTTATGGGGCAATTAATTGCTTTCCTACCCATGGGGGGGAATTGTGGTTTCTTCAGGGTGAGTTATTGTTGCTGATATGCATACTTAAATTGGCATCTGCAAGAATCAAACAAAAGAGGGGTCAGGTATGAGATATTAATGGCCACACAACAGTTGATCTTAGAATACATAGCTTGCTTTTTTTAGAATTTAAATCTTGAATTTATCAAAGTGCAACCATGTGAAAAATAATTGTTGTAAATCTCAACAATTCTCTCACTTTGTGTGTGTATTTGTTGGGGGGGGGAGATTACTTTGCTAACAATGAAATGCCATCTGTATCTGGTTGTAGACACCCGCTGCACTGACCGGATGTTTCTCCCCACCAAATCCAAAGCTTTTGTGGCATTGTCAAGCTTCCCTGGAGCTGGCAACACCTGGGCTCGTCATTTGATAGAACACGCTACAGGATTCTACACCGGGAGCTACTATTTTGATGGAACCCTATATAATAAAGGTAGGCTATTGAGCTGTGCCTGTCTTGTTTGTTTGTTTGTTTTTAAGAACAAGCACACTGCCAGCTTTGGGCCCTGACTGTTTTTTTCTAAAAGTGGGTTCACTGAACAGGGGGAGGAAAGGGGTGTGTGCCACATTAGATCAGAACAATGTAGTAGTAGGATTCATGATGGGGTGGGTAGGAAGAAGAAGAAGAAGGGGAGGAGGAGGAGGAGTTTGGATTTGATATCCTGCTTTATCACTACCCGAAGGAGTCTCAAAGCAGCTAACATTCTCCTTTCCCTTCCTCTCCCACAACAAACACTCTGTGAGGTGAGTGGGGCTGAGAGACTTCAGAGAAGTGTGACTAGCCCAAGGTCACCCAGCAGTTGCATTTGGAGGAGTGGGGAAGCGAACCCGGTTCACCAGATTACAAGTCCACCGCTCTTAACCACTACACCACACTGGCTCTGTGTGTAGAGGTTACCAGAAGGTGAGGGAGAAGGGGTGGGGAGGGAAAAGGGGAGTGTACCAAGGATACAAAAAGACAGACAGGGGCACATGGGCAAGTTGGGGAGAGAAGGGTCCCAAACAAGGAAATAGTGGAAGTGTACCAAAGAGGACATTGCTATTAGGGCCATGACAAAATTGTAATGGTTGGTCTGCTTACAGTGTTTGAGAGATATATTTTGGTGTTTAGATCATATCTATCTATCTATCTATCTATCCACACAAACACACACTTTATATACATACACACAGGTTTTAAAGGGGAAAAGGATCACTGGAGAAGCAGGAGAACTATTTGTGTCAAAACTCACGAGAGTGGCCAAAAAGAAATTGAAATGTTTGATTCGGCCATCTTATTGATACGGAATCCATACAAGTCGCTGGTGGCAGAATTCAACCGGAAGTGTGCAGGCCATCTCGGGTATGCCACAGATCGCAACTGGAAAAGCAAAGGTAAGTGAACTCTAAGCCATTACTTTCTGACTTCATGTCAGAGAGAGATTTAACGAAACATGCTACACTCCTGTTTTCTTTATTTGTCAAAATAATAGACTGTTTCAAAGCATAAAGCCATCAAAGTAGCATATAAGAGAAAAAGAGAATAAAACACCCAGTTCTAAAACAAACAAACAGTAACACGGAGTCATTGAATTGTACAGAGTTGGAAGGAACATCATTTCAAGGATGCTAATTCTAAAAAAACAATAAAACAGTTTATGTAGGTATATAACTGATACTCCATAAATGACTAGGTTTCTCAGGGAAAGAATTCTTAAACCAAAGCATCTTCAGTAGGTATCTAAACACCATGATTTCAGGTGCGTGTTTCATTTCAGCTAGCAATTGATTCCATAGAGTTGGAGCTGCTGCACTAAAAGCTCAGTTTCTAGTACAAGCTCAGCACATGTGGGATGCTCAGTAGTGAGAGGTATAGTTGCTGGGCAATGATACATGGGGTGAAGTGGTTCTTTAGATACTCTGGTCCCAAATGAACATTTATTCATGTTGGAGGAACATCTACTACCGTTTTTTTCAAGCAGAAAAGTTCCTTGTTCTGTCTCTGGCATCACCACTTGTAAGGATCAGGGCTACATCTGCACCATACACCATAGCTGTCAACGTTTCCCTTTTTTAAAGGGAAATTCCCTTATTCCGAATAGGATTCCTTGCAAGAAAAGGGAAAAGTTGACAGCTATGCCATACACCTAAAGTGTTACGATATCCCTCTAAGAGTCATGGCTTCCCCCCAAAGAATCCTTTGGAACTGCTGAGAGTTATTAGGAGACAGAGCTGCAATTCCCCAAATGGTTTAACAACCAATCCTTCTTGCCAGGAAACACTGGGAATTGTAGCTCTGTGAGGGGCAGAGCTTAATGAACTACAGTTCCCAACATTCTTTGGGGGAAGCCATGACCGTTTAAAGTGGTGTGATAGTGGTATAATGTAAAGGTAAAGGGACCCCTGGTCATTAGGTCCAGTTGTGGCCGACTCTGGGGTTGCGACGCTCATCTCGCTTTATTGGCCGAGGGAGCCGGCGTACAGCTTCCGGGTCATGTGGCCAGCATGACTAAGCTGCTTCTGGCGAACCAGAGCAGGGCACGGAAACACTGTTTACCTTCCCACTGGAGCGGTACCTATTTATCTATTTGCACTTTGACATGCTTTCGAACTGCTAGGTGGGCAGGAGCAGGGACTGAGCAACGGGAGCTCACCCCGTCACAGGGATTTGAACCGCCGACCTTCTGATCCGCAAGCCCTAGGCTCTGTGGTTTAACCCACAACGCCACCCATGTCCCAGTGGTATAATGTATTAAGCATTAAATGTGCAGATTGGGCCTAAGTGAACTAATACTTTTCAGAAGAGAGCTTTCTAAGAAAAGAAGACTCTTCACCTCCTACCCCTCAAGAATTTTCAAGCAACCTTCCCCTCAATTTTGCAACACACAAATAGCACTAACAGAAAGGGGTTATCTGCTTCTGATATCATTTTAAAGCAGTCTTTCTTTGCCATCCTTTTTCTATTTAGCAACAGCTAGGTTTGAAAACAGCTAAGTCAATATCCTTTCTTTTGTCTTTCACTTTGCAGAGTGGCCAGATTTTGTAAACAGCTATGCTTCCTGGTGGGCTTCCCATGTGTTGGACTGGCTCAAATATGGCAAACGTCTCCTTGTCATCCACTACGAAGACTTGAAGCAGGCCCTGCTCCCTAATCTGAAAGAAATGGTCAGATTCCTGAACATCACAGTGACGGAGGACCGCTTGCTCTGTGTTGAGAACAACCGAGATGGGAACTTCAAGCGGTCAGGAGCCAGGCAGAAGGGATTTGATCCATTCACAGAGGAGATGAAAAACATGATCAATAAATACATTATGATGGTGGACAAAGCCCTGAGAGAGAGAAACTTTATCGGGCTTCCAAAAGAGTATTTGCCCAGATGATGTCATATGACCAGCTAGCTACATTAAAAAAGAGAGAGATCCTAATAATGAATTTTTTAAAAAGGCCAGAATTTTATAGCAGTAAAAAGGCAAGATTTGCACAGGGTCTGCTGATGAATGCAAATTCTTGAGACTTGGACGCTCTTCAGGGGTACTAAGTGCTACGAAAGGCGAGCAATGAAGGATGGAAATTGGGTTATAAACCAAGGCAAAAGACATTAGCGTCTCTGCCTCTGTGTGTCCTTTTCTCTATAAATGGCTACAAATTTTAACACTTGTGTGCACTGCTAATTGTGGGAAATGTGTGTGAGGTGGGGTGGGGTGGGGGAGGCAGAAAGTTCCTTTGTATCCCCCTAACTGCCTACTATCAGTATTTCTGAAGAGTAACTATAACTTTTATAACAATTTTGGCAATTCAAATGTGCAGGTTACCCCCTTGCTTTCTTTGTTTTAAACTCACCCTGATAAATAGTTTTAGCTAAGTAGTTCCGGGGGGGGGGGGAGTTGTTTTCTCTGCCTTCTTCCTTTATTTATGAATTTTAAAAACTGGGTCTTTATCCTCCATGAAAATGACATGTCTAGAGGGTTCTAATCTAGGGAATCTCAAGTGGGGACATTCCCTCCTCAAGATTTCTAATGAAATTAAATTAGGAGCAATTATTCCTCTTGCTTTCCCACTGGAGATGGCTGAATGGATATCTACCGTATTTTTTGCACCATAACACTCACTTTTTTCCTCCTACAAAGTAAGGGGAAATGTCTGTGCGTGTTATGGAGGGAATGCCTACGGGTGGCGGGGGGGGGGATCTGCTGCAGTCGTGAGCAGAGGATCCATGGTTCCCCTTCCTTCCCTCCTCTGTGGCTCGCTTTGAACCAGCAAAGCGGGAGAAGAGCCACTGAGTGGGGAGGAGAGAGGGACAGAGAGCCTGCTTCTTTAAAGGAGCAAAGTGGGATAGGAGAGGTTGGTTCCTTTAAAGCAAGCAGGCTCTCTGTCCCTCTCTCCTCCCCACTCAGCTCGCTAAATAGCAGCAAAGTTTTTCAGCTCGCTAAGCTAGGGATGAGCAGGGAGGAGGGAGAAAAGCAGAGCCTGCTTGATTTAAAGGAGCAAAGTGGGAGAGGAGAGGAGCCTTTTCCCCTTAAACCCCTCTCCTGCATTATTAGCAGCATCCTTCTCCACCCACCCCACGTGTGTTCTCTCTCCCCTTAAACCCCTCTTCTGCATTATTAGCAGCATCCTTCTCCACTCACCCCATGCGTGCTTCTTCTCCCCTTAAACCCCTCTTCTGCATTATTAGCAGCGTCCTTCTCCACACACCCCACATGTGCTCCTTGTCCCTTGAGTGCTTTTCCTTCTCTCCCCACTTAAAACATGGTTACAAAGCACGGATCCACATGGATCCTCAGGATTTTTGCACTGGGTCACCCCAAATTCACCATCAGATCACATAGCATGTCCATGGCTACATCTTGCACCAAAAAAACCACGTACCCACTGTTACCTGGGGCCGCAGTGGTGCAAAAACTTGGTTACAAAGCATGGATCCACATAGATCCTCAGGATTTTTGCATTGGGCTACTCCAAACTCACTGTCAGATCACATGTCTGTGGCCACAGCATGAACCACAAAAATCATACATCCACTGTTTTGTTTAGAATATTTTTTTTCTTGTTTTCCTCCTCTAAAAACTATGTGCGTGTTATGGTTGGGTGCATGTTATAGAGCGAAAAATACGGTATCTCCAACAAAATTCTACTCAGAGGAAACCCATTGATGCTAATGGGCCTAAGTTTGTCATTAAAAAATAATCATCAGTGGGTCTGCTTGGAATAAGACTCAGTCATTGGATGCAACCCATATTCTTTAAACTAGGATTCAAATTATGCATCTTGTTAGATTTAGGGATTTTAGAGGGGAAAGGCGTAGAATTCTAGAATTTGGCACTGGTGATGTTGCATTAATGTTTTAACTTGGGCGGAGTGTCTCTCAAATTTTAATTTTTAAAAAGAAATGGGAAAATCCAAAATTGAATTCAGTTTCGTCAGATTTGTGAGATTTGTGGAAATCTGTACTATAGCTCCAGTTTGCTCCAGCCCTGACAATCTCTTACCAGCATGCCTTTGATGAGCTCTGGCATGAAACAAGAGGCAACTATGCAATCAGAACAGGGTGGACTCTCATTCAACCAAAGGTTTTAAAGCAGAGATTGGGTGGCTGCCCATCTGGGTAACTAGTGCAATGGATTCCCCGGATTGGCAGAGAGTTTAGACTGCATTATCTTTGAGGTTCCTTCCCATACTATGATTGCAACAACAACAATATTGTTATGCCACTGTTCATCCAGTGGTGGGGGTTGGCGCATCAAAAGAGTGAAATGGAGCTCCTATGACAGGACAGATCAGGGACCACACAGTGTGCCTTGTGACACTGCTTAAAGTGCATACAATATTGTCTTACTTGCTAACCAAAAGGGAAATGACAGCATGGAGTTTTCCATCACAAGTGAAACATAAACTACATAAGGGTAATGTGGGGATGAGTGGGAGACCGACATGTCTAACTTTCAACCACAGTGGTTTGGAGGAGGGATAAATAAATATAAGCAAAAACCACATGGAGGAATATGGATGCCTTTTTGTCTCACCCACATCCGATTAATAAGAGCATTACTGAAAATTCATCTGATCCTACTTGTCTGTAATTTGGCAGGTTTGTTACCCAGGGACATATCTCTCATGTCAGCAGGCTTTCAAGGGTCCATCAAATTGGAAACCTGTTGCCCAGGATGGCCGACCAGATGCCTCAGGGAAGCCCCCCAGGAGGGCTAGAAGCTTGGCTTGACCTCTGTCCAAATAAGCACACCATTTTCACTTTGTACACACACATATATACACAAACATACTTGGTTGGGCATAACTTATTCTGAATGACAAATCATCCAAATTAGTCTGAAGTGATTTTCAGTTCTGAAGTTTCCCATTAATTGACCATCATTGCTAGTAGGCGTGTCACAGCAAGACTGCCAGAAGATGTTGCATAGCAGAATGTTATAAGTGGGACCTACCTCTTGCAAAGAAAATCGCAATGCGGAGTGCTCCTGCACAGGTTCCTGGCCAGGATAGCCTATCTATTCCCCTTTGTAACCCATTTCTATCTTCTTCCACAACAATCAGTCAGCATCTCATGGTCATTGAGAACACTACATCCAAACAGGGCTTTCTTTGAGGCACTTCCACACTCAATTCCATCATCACCCCAAAGATTTGAAGAGGCAGGGAGTTGTTGGGAGCCCCTTGTTTCCCTCTCAGACCTACAATTCCCAGAGCGGTTTAACAAGTAACCCCTCTTTTCAGGGAACTCTGGAAACTTCAGCTCTGTGAAGGGAATATTGGGTCCTCTAACAACTCTCAGCACTACAGTTCCCATTATGTTTTGGGGAAAGCCATGACTGTCCAAGTGGTATGAGCGCTTTAAATGTATGGTCCTGGCAGCGATCTTCTGAGGGAGACAGAAGGCAAAGGTGTAACAAGAAGTAGACTGGTGTGAATGCGGCCATAGAGAGAATCTGCACATAGCTCCCTATGCCCAGTGAGATAATGAACAAGGTCTTCAGAACTTGAGCAAATGGCTGCAGTATCAAAATCCTCATAATCCTGGAGAAACCAACACTTAACACATGTTCATCGTACTCTCCTAACATCCTAACCAGAACATACCCCAGTTAGAAAATGGCTTATGAAAGCTTACTTCGTCATACATTTGGTTACACGCTACAGTTGCTGGCTCATGCGTTCCTCCCAATGAAAGGTATGAGGTGTCTTTGGCCAGCATAACTTTGTATTTGCACAATCCTTCAAAGATGCCTGGAGAGCAGGGATGTAAGAAGGCACTGTTTTCTATCCATCACATGCAGCACTGTTTCCATGCTCCTGCAGTCTGCCTGTCCCCCAAACTACATTATTTGTAACACTCTGGCGAAATTACATTAGTTGTGTAATGTTATTGCCATTACATAATTCTACACTGTTTGTTGCAATGTGATGTGTGTGGGGGGGGGGCATAATCAATTAGCTATCATTTGCAGACTGAAACCAATCACATTCACTGAATTGATTTCAGTTTCGGATATGAATGAATAAGCACTGGCAATTTCTCCTCCTGTTTTTGTTTTCATTCTCTGACACCTTTACTGGGGAGTCAACAAGTACAGAAGGTCTCTATGCTCTGATAATGGGGGAGACTTCTGGATTTCAGCTACATTGTGTTTATAATGCTAGAATCCTTGCAAACTTGTACTGTACAATAAAACCTCCTTCTCCTTTTCACCCATTGATTTAACAGTAACACAGTAGACTCACAGGTCTTCATCACAATGACACTACAGTAAAACTGTTCAGTCTATACAATCAAACCAGTGAATGATTTGATAGGATTACAACAGGTGTGTTCCTTTGTAAAGTACAATTCTTTCCACTCTAGCTGGAATATTGTGCAAGTCTATTCTTCAGAATTCTTTGTTCTATAAAGATCGGAATAAATGATAATGTCACTTACATTTTAGAGACAGTTAAGTCCCCGCTGCCTTAACACTCTGCTGTGGAGAGCATTTGTTTCCTTAGACATTTCCTTCCCTTCCCATTCATTTAAATGGGTTCCACTATGCCTGTTTTATGGTTCTTTTTCATTCCTATCTCTACTAAATTAAGTTCTGGATTTCGAAAAGAAATATCAACAGCACATAACATCTGAAATCATTTTCTGCAACCCAGAGAGAACAGCAGAGAGGAACAGCTTCGCCTGTCATTTCTGTCATGTTTTACATCCAGGTTCTGACTTTGAAAGCAACCTTAGATCCTAAATGTATGCTTTATTCATCATACTGACTGGTGGTGTGGTGAAACCATAAGCATTGTTTTGAAAAGGTCAGCACAGAATTAGTCCTCCCCCACTCTACTGAAGAATGTTGAGAAAAGTATCATTAATTAACCCAAAATATGAACA